ACTAGAGATGGTCACTCAGCCCCTCCTAACCACTCCTCCAACCATACCACTTCCTCTAGCTTGTCAAGGACGTGAAGAACTGGGGCAAGACGGCATCCTGCAAAGTCTTGACAATGGGCCTCTAGCCATCCCCTGATCTGCCAGCCGGTTAACCTCACTCTCAAAACAAGAAATAAGGTTAAGTTGGCAAGAGGTGTGCATAACAAACCAAACACAGCTTATTTTCCAAGCGTTCACAAGCTGTCCGCTTAATAATCTGCTTTTGAATTCTGCCAGCAATCTGATGGCAGAAGTGATGGATGCCAAGCCCATTGGTCTGTGGTTTCTCACTTTAAAAATACCAACAAAGCAATCTTCCACCTCTAGTCTCTTGGTGTCTCTGCTGTGCTGTGATCAGAGATCACAGGTCGTGGTTATGCAGCCCTGCTTGTACTCCTATCTCCAGAGTAGGGGCATGTTAGGATCTCACTGTGACATGTGTAGTCTATGAACATTAAACTCACTAGCTTTTCTGCAGGCATTCTAGAAACCCTGATTTCTGTTGGGGGGCAGGAGGGGCTCAAAAAGCAGTTCATTGTTCCCATTCTGATGGGAATCCACTGAGTCCAGCTAGGCACTTACCCATGCTCCCCCACCCCAGACTCCAGGCTCCAGACCCTTCTGATCGGCATCGGTCCCAGTCTTCTCCAGATGAAAACGCATTCCTCTCAATAGAGAAGGCAGAAGTCCCCGGGAGTGGAGTCATTCTGTTTTCTCCTCAGACCATCTGCCCAGCAGTGGGCATAGCTCCCCCTACCCTTGTTCTTTCTTCAAATGTTTAAAACAAGCACGATGTTTTACTTAGCATTTTTACCAGCTTCAGCCACTCTCCGGTGCAGCCTTCTGGACTCTGGCCTTCCGTCCCTGTGCCATCTTTAGTTGGCACCCACAGGTACCTTCAGTCAGTCATATGAAAATCTCAACTAACATGATCTGTTGCATGGAGGATGCTTGTCTCCATCTCTGGGATCATGTGGACTTGAAACAATGAACTGCTTTTAGAGCCCCTCCTGCCCCCCAACAGAAATCAGGGCTTCTAGAATGTCTGCAGAAAAGCTAGCAAGTTTAATGTTCATAGGCTACATATGTCACAATGAGATCCTAACATTAGTTATTCTTGTTATTTCCACTTTATAAAGGGACCTGAAGCCCAAAGAAACAACGCTCCAAGATTACAGTTATTTAATGGTGTGGCCTAGGAGGGTCTTGAACCCAGATCATCTTAGTAAAAAACAATCTAAGCTCTCAGCCTCCCCGCTCTCCTGAGTGTCAAGGCTGAAGAGGCAAATGTGGTCACAAAAGGATCAGAGCAGGTCCTAATGGTAGTGTGTGCCTGGGAAGCTTAAGCCAGAACCCAGGTCCCTGAACAGTGAGAAGGAAAACAGTCCCCAGAGACTGCTTCTTAAGGTTTTGAGGAACGTATACAAGGTCATTCGTGTATTCATTCATAAAACATTTGCCCTGTCCACAGCCCTTGAGTGTTCAGGTAAGGACCTTAGGCTTACTTCCAATGTGGCTAACCTGTCTCCTTCCACATCCTCCATGGAAACCCAGGACACCTGGGTCCCCTCAGAATCAGTATCTTTAAATTTCATCTTTTTAGCAGCAAAGAGTCCTGGACATGCGAAGGCTGTTTCTGCTACAGACACAAAAGGCTCATGGCTTTGGCCAAGGATGTTATCACAGCTCTTTCCTTCATAAGGCCTTTAAGTTATCTCAGTAAAGAGGAGGCCAAACATAACTGCTGTGGAGAGCGTCTTACTGATTGCAGGAAGGAGGCTCTGGCCAGCCTGCTGGGCGCTGAGCAAGGGCTGGGGCATGTTGGTCCTGAGGTCAACAGCCAGCGTGTGAAGCACTTGAGAGAGCTCCAAACTGAGAAGAGTCCAGCGTTATTCCAAAGTGGCTAAAGGGGCTGAGTGTCAGAGACCATGCGCATCTCTGAGACAGTGTGGTTGGTAGAAAGGAGATAAACTCAAGGGGAACAGGCTTCATCCCAGCTAAGTAACAGCCAAGCCATGCAAGGTCCCCAGGCCTCAGTTCCTGCATGTGTACAACGGGGCAAAGAGTTTGAAGTTCAGAGAACTTGTAGACCCATGTAAGGTAGACCCCTAAGAGCTTTGTAGGTTATAATATCCGCGTGAACAGAAGCTGAGTTTGTTTTCTTTGTTACCATACCTGAGAGCCTGCTGCTCTTCTGTTCCAAACTCACCTGTGGCTTGGACTCTGATTCAAACCCCTCACCACCACATACTGGATGCTGAATGCTATGTCCTTCCTGTCTCCTTAGCCTCCTATTATAACTCTTTCTCTCTGTGTGCAGCCCTGCTGGCCCCTTGACAATTTCTGGAACGGACTGTTTGCTTTACCAAGGCCTCTCGACTTTCCTATCCTTCTGCTAGGTACACCCAGGCTCAAGTGTTTTATGTGGCTGGAAGCTACAGCTCATATCTCATCTCAGTGAGGCCTTTACTGACCACAACATTTACCTCTGCTCTCTTCATACAAACAGCCATGTGCCAAAGAGTTGTTATGATTTTTAATAAATATTTTAATTATTTGAGAATTTCATACATTGTATTTTGATCATATTTACCCACAACTCTTCCCAGATCCACCCTGTCTTAGTTAGAGTTTCTATTGATATGATATAACACTATGATCAAAAGCAACTTGGGGAGGAAAGGATTTATTTCAGCTCACAACTCTCAGATCATACTCCATCACAGAAGGAAGTCAGGACAGAAACTCAAGACAGGAACCTGAAGGCAGGAACTGAAGCAGAAGCCATGGAGGAGCAGTGCTTGCTGGCTTGGTCTTTATGGCTTGATCAGCTTGCTTTCTTATACAACTCAGGGCCTTCTGCCCAGGCTTGTCACTACCTAAAGTAGGCTGGGCCCTCCCACATCAATCACTAATCAAGAAAACACTGGACAGACTCGCCTATATGCACTTTGTCAATTGAGAGTCCCTCTTCCAAAATGACTTTAGCTTGTGTCAAATTGACACCAAACTACCCAGCACACATCCTCACCTTCCTACCTGCCCCAACTACCCATCTCTTTTTTGGTTGTTGTTAATTTAATAATTCATTAACTCCAGTTTGTACTGTCCATATATTTCTGGGTGTGGGTCCACCCACCAGAGTGTGGTTGACCTATCAGGAGCCATATCTTCAAAGAAAATTGACTGTCCCTCCCTCCCTCCAAGCCATCAAATGTCCATATCTCCTCAGTTAGGAGTGGGGACTCATGAACTCCTTCTCACTCCATACCAAAATGTTCACTAGCTTGATCTTGTGGAGGCAAACACAGCTGCTGTGAGTTCATGAGTGCTGCCATTCTGTTGTGGCCAGAAGACTTCAGTCTTCCCCGGCCTCTGGGTCTTACAGTCTTCCTGTCCCCTCATCCATGACGGTTCCAGAGCTTGGGAAGGAAATACGATATAGGTGTCTCATTAGTGGCTGAGCACTCCCCGGTCACTTATTCTCTGCACTTTGACCAGTTGTGAGTTTCTGCATTAACCACCATCTACTCACAAAGAAACTTCTCTGATGTGGTCTGAGAGCTTCACTAATCTATGAGTGTAGAGATAGGAGTTTAGAGAGCAGTTTGATACTGTGTCCATTTACAGAAATAATAGCAGTAGGTTCACATCTGGGGCCTATGAGCTCCTCAACCATGAGTTCTTGGCCAGATTTACAGTACCAGGCATGTGCTTTCCAATTTGTGCTGTCCATATGCTCTCCCCTGGGTTGTGGTCGACCTACCAGGAGCCATAACAGAAAACTGACTGTCCCTCCCCACCAAAAGCCATCAAATGTCTATAACTCCTCATTTAGGAGTAGGGACTCATAGATCAGGCCTTAAACCCAAACAAAAGTTCTTGGTTACTCCCATAACATTCATTCTGCTTTGATGTCCATGGGCATATTTTGCCATGCTGGCCATTATTGCAGTTCACAGAGTTCATAGCTGAGTAAGACTGTTATTGACCATGCTCCCCCAGGATCCTGCATAGCACTTCCTAGTGCTATGAAACTGGCCAGCAGGGAGGAAGTTTGCTGGTCAGTACCGACTTGATTTCTCCATGCCCTATGACTAACGTGTGTGCTGTCTTCAGCAATAGAGTCTTACCAAGTTCTAGTGGTCAGCCAAGAACAATGGTAATAAGCTGTGTTGTTTGGGGGGGTCTCCAGGACACCCTTGGCTGACAACTCAGGGCAAGGTATCCTCCACCCACCCAGCAATAGGTTTTTTATTTGGCAACTATAGTTTCCATTAACTATATTAATCCCTATGCAGATAACAGCAATTAAACTTTTTTGTATTATATATATATATATATATATATATATATATATATCATATACATAAAGCTTATAAAATAGGTTGCCATATCACTTCTTCAAACACCTTTGGCATCAGTCATCCCTCCCCCACTTCTCCTTGCCCTACCCTTCTATCCTTCATCCCACTTAGACTTCTCTCGATGTGAATCCCCTTTCCCCTTCATATCTCCTGTGTTGCACTCTCCTCTCTCCCTGGAGATCCTTCTTCCCCCCCCACCCCCCGCCAATGGTCACTTTCTGGTTTTCTGGGTTCTACAGTTATTCCAAATTAAACACAAATCTAAGATTTGATGCTAAAACCCATAGATGAGTGAGAACATGTAACATTTGTCTTTCTTGGCCTGGTTATCTTTTTACCACCGAGTTTTTCAATGTCACATTTACTCATGTGTGGTCTTCCTTATAGAAACTCCATGAACATACAAGTTTTTTGCCTCTTTTGCTCTAAGATTGTATCACTGACCCGTGTAGATGCCGTGGAATGTTGATGAGTAAATGAATGAATGTGTGAGTGAGTGAACGATTGGCTGAGACGCCTCACTTGTTTCCCAAATGGCCCCTTACCTCCTTACATCCTCTCTCTCCTCCCCGCCCCTCTCCCTCTCTCTTACAGATATGGAGACATGGTACCTAAGACCATCGCGGGTAAGATATTCGGCTCCATCTGCTCCCTGAGTGGTGTCCTGGTCATTGCTCTGCCAGTCCCTGTGATAGTCTCCAACTTCAGCAGGATCTACCACCAGAACCAGAGAGCAGATAAACGCAGGGCACAAAAGGTAAGCCTTAGAAGCAGGGTTGGGGGAGAGGAGGAGAAAGGGTAGGGGAACTCAGGCAGGCTTGCTGGGCCTGGATTCTTTGGAGGATTCCTGCCCAGACACTCTCTGGCTTGGAAAGATAAGGCAAGTTCATGTCCCCTCCTACCCACCAATGTCCTCAGTTCCAGCCCCAGTCTGCTGCTTCAGAATGCAACAAACCCCCACTGCCGACACATGACTGGATTGTCCTTCTAAATAGTCTATTGAACTGACCCATAGCTCCACTTCTACACGCCCAGCCATGGCCACCAAGCAGATCCTGGCTCCTCCTTTTCCCATCCCAGAGCTTACCAGGAAACAAAATGTCAGTTTAATATCCTGTTGAGGGCCTATACAAAAGCAAGTGACAAAAATAAATGTGCAGAAAAGAAAAATGACCAACGTGAGAGGAGAGCACTCTGTGGTCACTGCGTTCTGGGTCAAGTGGAACATTAAATGTTAGTAGACACCAGGGTGCCATGTGAAGTCACAGAACTCAGCTGATGACTGGAGAGTCAGCATCAGGCTTCGGGAGAGTTCTAAGTTCTGCCAAGTCTGTACTTAGGATGACAGGTGAGTGAAATATTGTCTGCCCATACAGAGCAAGATGTCTATAGGCTGGTGTGCTCAGAAGCCTCTTTTGCACTTGGCCTTCAGGCTTCTCTCTGGGACAGCACAGCCACACCACCATCCCCCAGGCATCTTCCAGAGATGGTTCTGCCAATGACTTTTGCTGGGATCCTGTATTATTAACATTTGCACTGCTGTGACAAATGTCTGTCATACATAATTAAAAGAAATAATTATTTTGACTCACAGTTTCAGAAGAATTAGTCTATCTGCTTGGCCCCCCAGACATCATGGCAGCAGGGAGAGCAGGTGGTGGAGATGGTTCCTCACCTCCTGGTGGATGAGCCGCCAAGAGGAGGGAAATGCCAGCGCTCGGCTGTCCTTCTCTTTTGCCTTTTGTGTTTTCATCTAAGCCCACAGCCCACTCACATTAAAGTGGGTCTTCCTCAGTTAATTCTCTAGAGAAACGCCATCACAGACACTCCCAGTGTGTGTGTGCCTCACCAGTCTCCTAGGTGATTCCAAAGTCAATCAAGTTGGCAAAGACTAGAAGAGAATCTGGAGCCGGGGGTGGGAGGGTGGGGGGAGAGTTGTTTCTATTTCCCTTTCAATCTGGGCTGAAAATGGTACCCTTATTATCTCAGCCTCTGGAAGTCATGATCAGAGTCTCGGGTACAAAGGACAGAAGAGCACCTTGTTGGAAGATTGGCTTAGACACAACAAGGATTTTGCTCTCTGTTTTATTCTTTCTTCCATCCCTTCACTTCTTCTACAGACATTTATGTAGGCACCTTCCAAGTGACAGCCCTGCATCTAGATTACTTGCTCCCACTTGCAAGAATAACCCCTGGGTAGCTGGGTCTAATACTGGACAAAGTGGTCTAGAACTTTAGGACAGGTCTGTGTGGACTGACTGTAACAAAGCCACAAGTTTAAGCTAAATCTAAAACAATGGTTACATAACAATTTACGATGTAGCAGGATCTCAAAGAGTCTTATTAATAAAATCAAACCTGAGGCCAGTTATTGGGGTGAACACTGGAAGATCAGAGAGACAGAACAAGCCACAGCTAACCTCACCTGGCCAACTTCTCAGCTGGTCTTGTTTCCTCAGACTGGAAGCTTCTGTGTCCTCATAACCTAATGGCTCTGAACTGTGCTGCTCAAAGCCTGAAAGCTTAACCAGCCAAATGCTTCTAATTTCTGGTCCTCATGCCTTATATACCTTTCTGCTTTCTACCACCACTCCCTGGGATTAAAGGCTCGCTTTCTGGGATTAAAGGCATGTGTCACCATGCCTGGCCATTTCCAATGTGGCCTTGAACTCACAGAGATCCAGAGGGATTTCTACCTCTGGAGTGCTAAGATTAAAGGTGTGAGTGCCACCATTTTCTAGCCTTTGTATCTAGTGGCTGTTCTGTCTCTGACCCCAGATAAGTTTATTAGGGGGCACAATATTTTGGGGAACACAATACCACCACAATTTACTTAGAACAGTAAATAATATAATCATATGCTAAGCCTACTTGGTCCCCAAATCCCGAATATGACCCCTTGTGTGCCCTTGTATCACCTCCGCCTTACCATCCTACACCTGTGCCTGGTCTGTAACGTTGCCAGCCGTAAGGTCCTTCTTCTGACACCCTCTGTCTCCTCAGCATCTATCTTCTCTCTCCTCACCCAAGGTCAAGGTCTCCCCACTCCCAGACACTCCAGAAATGGAAGTCTTATCTCTCCCTGCTCAAGTCAGCTGGTAAATGTGAACAATGACTAAATTCATCACACAGTTCTAAATAAAGAGGCAGAGAAAAACCGGGCTCCCATATCCAAACTCTGAGGTCCTGAGGGCCAGGGAATCCTGTGGCACACTCTGCCCTCACATCTTTTAAACCTGGGCAAGCACAAACTCAGGCTTTTCACAGAGCTGGTAGGGTTCTCAGATGTGTGGGGCTCAATGGTGACAGCCCCTCCAGAGGTAGCTCTGCCCTGCAGCCACCTTCGCCTCCCTGGCCACACCACTCCTACTTCTCAGAGAAGCTCATCTGCAAAGAATATAACAGTGAATGCTTCCCACAGAGTGTGTAAAGCTTATTGTGTGTTATTAAAATCCAGAAAGGCCAACTCTAGCTTTCTCCTCTGTCTGAGCTACTCAAGATGAACCCTGCCCAACCCCTCTTTCTCCTTTGAAATAAGTAAATATTTACAGTGTTTTCCCTAGCCTGGATACCGTTTCTCCTCAAGGTTGCACAGCTCTGTCTCTTTCACCTTGGGCTTCCTGTGAGAGGAAAAAAACAATACTGTCTGCTTCCAGCACTCAGTCTGTCATGGTGAGCCAAGGCAAGGCGGGCCCAGGGGACTTGGTGAAAGTGGAGAGACGGGACAGGGAGGAGGTCAGGAAGGTTAATGATAGTCCTTAGCTCTGACCACGTTTCTGGGAGCTTCGTGAACATCAAAGTAAGCTCCAGCTCAGGTGCCTTGTGGATAAAGGCTCAAAAGAAATTAGTGTCGTCACATCTACCCGTGGGGACTGTCTTCCCTAGGCCAAGAGAACGAGATGAGTCAAGGTTGTCTAGCAGAGGCACCTGGGATGGGGCCTAGAGAAGCCACCACCTGTCCCAGCTCCACCCACAATTTTTGGTTTCAAGGGAGTTTGTTTAGTTTTGCTTACATTTTTATTTTTGTTGTGCTGGGGATTAAACCCAGGGCCTTGTGTGTTCTAGGCAAAAGTACTCTATCCCTTGACTATGCTTCCAGTACCATATCCTTTGTTTTTAGTGGAATATTTTATTGTAGTCATTAAAAATTCACATGTAGTTGCATGCCCAGTTTTGTCTGATGATAACATTTTATAGAACTATACAGTGCACAGAGGGTATAAAGGCTATGAAGCCACCCCTCTTACCTGTCTTCCCTAGATTGCCCCAGTTTTTCGAGTGTGTGTGTGTGTGTGTGTGTGTGTGTGTGTGTGTGTGTGTGTTACAGTTTCCTCACCCATGTGGGTTCCTGCAGATCCAACAGCTTCATGACTATAAGACTAGCCAGTTCCCACATGAGAACCCTCGTGGCTTTTATAACCACATTCCTGCTGTGCCTCTACTGGTTCCTTACTCCTGGGAACTATTTGTCTGATCTCCACTTATCAAATGTTTTCATTTCAGAAAAGTTACATAAATGTACTCATACAGTTGGTAACCTTTGGGAGTTGGCCTTTTAGATCCATATAATTCCCAGAGACTAATTCAAATTATATCACGAATTCCTTATACCGGGCCTAGTGGTACAGTGATTCCAGATACTCAGGAGGCTGAAACAGGAGAATCATAAGCTCAAGGTCAACCTGGGATAGAGCATCATTCAAAACCAGCCTGGGTAACTCAATAAGATTCTGTCTCAAAAAAAAAAAGAGAGAGAGAGAGAGTCCATTCACTTTCCTCACTCAGTAGTGTTCTATTGCCTGTTGAAGAGCTTTTGGGACAGAAATGGTTTCCCGTTATTACAAGTAAGCATTCTTGTGTATGGGTTTACATTAACCTAAGTCTTAATGGCTCTCTGATAAATGTCTATGTGTACATTTCTCCCTTGTTTCCATTTCTCCCTTGTTTCCATTTCTCCCTTGTTTCCATTTCTCCCTTGCCTTCCTTCTGCCTCTCTCGGGGCAAGTGAGGCAAAGACTCACGTCCAGGCAGTCCCTGCCAGATGCCAGCGAGAATGTCCCAGTTGTGCCAGGTTCCTCAGGGGTCCCCAAACGGTCTTGACCAGTGATGGTGGCAGGCCATGTCCAGGGCTGACAGTGTTGTAGCAGAGCTCTCCTCCAATCCCATAGCTGCATTTATACCTGTTGAAGATGCAGATTCCTGGGCAATGCCCTTCAAGTTTAGAAACGTACCTGAAAGCAGGTGAACTCAAGGAGGGAGGAGGAAGACACGGTGAAAGCAATGTTTGACTTCCTAGTAGGAAGACATGAGCTGAAACCTTTCTAATCCATTCCCTTACCCTGGCTGAGTGGCTCCCTCTCATGCACTCCTTTTTTAAAAAATCAATTCATTATTAATTGTTTGGCCTTTGAAACAGCCTAGATGGGCTCTGCATTCTCTTATCTTTCATAGTGTCCTTATGGTAGTGGAAGAGAGTGGAAGTTGACCAGTTCACACAATGACTGAGCCATTACAAGGACTTTATAAGCATAGACTTCCAGCCAACCATGCTCGGTTTTCCTTCTTTGGCTACCACAATCTTTGCTTGAATTCCTGTTCAGCGCAGAGCATGCACTGGATGCTGGCAATAAAGGAATGTGCACAAGCCCCAGGTCTGACCCTCATGAACACAAAACCAAGCAGAGGGCACCACCAAGTTTCACACACTGGATACTGTTCTGCAAACCTTCCTCAAACCTGTTTCCCATTTAGGGATGATTAAACGATACAGTGTGTTTGATGTGACAATCTTCTACCTTAATAGAGTCCAGAGTGAGATAAGATTAAAAGAAGTGCCTCGGAGGGGAACAGGAGAGCCTTTCATCTCTGGAAAGTAATAAAGACAGACCCCACATAGGAGAAAGGTCTGGCTCTAAGTGGTAATCCGATGACATAAGGCTGTAATGAGCTTGATACAACTGGATTTCCATATGCAGCTCTCCAAACCTAGCCTTCTCCCAAAGTGACAGCAGCCAATGCCATGAACTGTGAGGAACTCACTTGACTATGGACTTCTGGCCACGAGAGGGCTGCAGCAGGGTTCCTGGGCAAACTCATCTAGATGTGGAATGAATGAATGAATGAATGAATGAATGAATGAATGAATGTATTCTGCTCAGAGACAGGGAGGGTGACAGGGTTGACTTGCTGGCCTTTCTGTCTCATATCTTTCTTTTCATCCTCTCCATCTAGAGGAGTTGCCATCCTTGGACTTGCAGGTAGACCTTCCAACTCAAGTTCTAGTCTCTTTCCCACATTTAAAGACCAGGGAAAGAGTTTAATTGTCTCTGCAAGTGGGTGGGGGAGTTCCCAGGAAGCAGGGAACATAATGTATCCTTTACTATTCTCTTGACAGCCCATGGCCTCCTCTTAGCAGATGAACCAACCCCAGCAGAGTACCTGGGAGAGCATAACAAGAAATGAAAATTGCCACAATTTCCCAGAACCTTTCTGTTAGGGTCCAGAATCAAGTCACATGTCACTGAATCAAGAGGCAGGAAGAGGAACCTCTACTCCATACTGTGTCTACGAATCTCATGGGTTCTTCTGCCTGGAGCAATAGCTTGGAGCTGGTTCTGGATCCACAGAGCCCAGGCTATATACTCTAAGCCCACAGGGCTTCTCTCCAGGCCCAGACTGAACTTCATGGTCCTCTCTTTTTCCTATGCTGTTTTTCATGGCTAGCGGTCATTAGGAAAAAAAAAAAAAAAAGAGCAGCCAGCATACATCATTTGGCGAGCCTCTCCCATTCCTCAGCAAACAAGTAAGATGAGCTTGGCCCAAGATGCTATGCAGCCCTCCTCTGGAGGGGGTTGTCTGCTGAGGGCTTTCCCAGGGAAAGTTTCAGTTCTGTGCTAGGTAAAGCAGAAGTGGCATATTGTAATGTCTTCCTTTCTGCCATATACACACCAGGCCACTTCTATGTACACTATGCTCTTCCTGCCCCTATGCACAGCATAGATGTATATTGACACATCCATCAACTCCCAAAGTCCGTTGCATATCTATAAATACATTTCTTAACTTTAAAAAGATTGAGAGTCTCCTGGTAACAAACAAAGCAAACATCTTGCTCTCAGAGAGTTTATGTTTTAGTACAGAAGAGAAACAGCAGCAAGACAAGTGTGTGTGCTACCTTAGTGAGAAGTGCTGGGAGAAGATCAGACAGGGGAGTTGAGGTGTTGGCCGTTCCATGGCTCTCTTTGCCTTTCCTCATAACTACCTATTATTTGGGAACCTACAGCAAGTAGAGAGCCAGCCACACTGGAACCCAGGAGAGATTCAGGACAGCTAGCACACACTGTCCTCTAGGAACCCTACAGTCTCATTAGAGACAGGAAGTAATAGAATGGCTCATGCCATTGTGCAATACTGACTGGAAAATGTCAGAAAGGCTTCAGGAGAAAGGCCTTGAGAATATGGTATTTCTTCCACCAAGACTCTACCCAGGCCGAAGATTTGTGAAGATTCCTAGAGTCCCTGACCACGGCTAAACTGCGAAAGTCAGCACACCGGTCTCAGATTCCTTCCAGGGTCTATAGATAGAGATGTGTAAGGCTAAGACAGGGGAGCGTATTTTCCCTTCGCACACAATGCTAGGGAAACCAGCCTCCGTAGGGCAGCTGTTGTCACTGACTCTACCAGGCTTGCTCTTCTTGTATCTTATTGTCTCTCTTATTGTCTCCCCATCACAGAAAGCCCGCCTTGCCAGGATCCGTGTGGCCAAAACAGGAAGCTCCAATGCCTACCTGCACAGCAAGCGCAATGGACTCCTCAACGAAGCCCTGGAGCTGACGGTAGGTGTCCAGAAGAGCTGACAGAGAAGATGAAATCGAAATAGGCTTGTTTGCTCACCACAGGTCCCAGCACTCCCCCAGGCCGCCCCGGGTTAGGTTCTGACAGGCATGTTTCCAAGTGTTCCCACCAACATACTGCTCTCATTTAATATCACCGCTGCCCATAAAACCAGCTGTTGACAAGGGCCCCAAGACCAAGACCAGCAGGTTTTATGGTAGCCCTAAGATTTGGCTTATCAAGATGTCCCTCATGCCCTCCTGCCTTCTGTGAAGAAATGAAGAGGCTAAAGAGAGGAGAAGACAACAGCGTCGTGCTCAGTCCTTTCTTTCTTTCTCACTAGGGCACCCCGGAAGAGGAGCACATGGGCAAGACCACGTCACTCATCGAGAGTCAGCACCACCACTTACTACACTGCCTAGAAAAGACCACTGTGAGTCCCAGCCTGCTGCCCCTTCCTGCTTCATCCCTGACGTCCCAAGGCCGTACTCACGTTGTCATCCTAGGCCAGATAGTCAGTCTGTCCCCTTCCAATCCAAAAGTGTAGCGGCAAGGTCTGTCGACACCCAGGATGAAGACCCCAGGGGGTGGGGCAAGGTCACCAGAGTGAGAGATCAGCTGAGTCCTGCAGCTGTAGAGAAGAAGCCACTCCCATAGCCTTCCCATCCCCACCCCCAACACCATCGTGTGTCTTAATTACTGAGGACTAAGCGTTTCGTTGTTCATTTCTCAGTTCTGATGGGCATCACCCAACAAGACTCAGGCTGAATTTACACAGGACAATAGAGAAGAGGGAAGATTTTTGTTCCACCCCTGTAGCTGGGTTGAGGCAACCCATGGGTCCCTTTGTGCCTACATTAATGAAGGAGGCTATATATATATATATATATATATATATATATATATATATATACACACACACACACACACACACACACACACACACATATTCTTTAGCCAAGGATTTACCAGTCCCAACCCCACTTAAGTAACCTTGCACTTTTGCAGGGAGTTCAGATTGTGAAAGGCTGATTGCCAAAGGAGATCATGGCGTAGGGTGCCACAGCTGGAATGGGAATAATGCTTGTGCCTTCCTGACAGCCTGAAAGGAAGGGCAGTAGGGCCAACCCTGAACCCTTGGCAAAAACGCTGGGACCAGTAGGGTGGGAGAAGTCAGAATAGAAACGCTAAAGTGAACCTCTTCCCTATTCCTTTCCAGAAGTTTTCCACCCAAAGAGCCTAGAGTCAGGGCTCAGCACACCCTTGAAAGGAGCTTCCTAATTCCTAGTATCCCATAGCCTCTTACTCTGAGCAAAAAAATGGATACCATGGATGACTGTGGAACCCCAGTGAGATCTTCTAAATGAGAAAGTGCTCTGCGAGCCCGGGTACCAGCATCTATGGTCAAAAACCATGTATGCATATCTAGAAGTTCTCCCAAGGACACCCAACTTGCCAATGGGATAGGCCCAGACCCCACTGCCCTTTCCAAGTTGCATGTACTGGGTGGAATGTGTAAATTAAAAGGACATGGGTGAAAACATTGGGGTTTGAAGGGCTGGAATGTTGGCATTGGGGGACTGAGAGATGGAATGCTGGCATTGAAGGGGTGGAATGCTGAATCTGAGGGAATGTTGAATTGATTGTAGAGATGGGATATCGGAATGCTGGATTTGGGGTAAGGAATGTGGGGCCCAGGGGTGGAATGTTGGGATAGGAAAAGAAGAATGTTGGTATGGAAAGAGTGAATGTTGGGTTAAGCAGGCTCCTTTTGGAGCCAATGGGTGAAATGTTGGGACAAGGGAAGCAGAATGCTGGGAATGGGGGCTGGAATGTTGAATTTGGAGGGTGAAATGCTGGGATTGAGAAATTGAATGTCCAAACCGGAATGCTGGAATGTACAATCAATGGTGTTTCTATCTTCTGTTGGCATGTTGTCCTGTAGGGGTTATCCTATCTTGTGGATGATCCCCTGTTATCTGTACGAACCTCCACCATCAAGGTATTGCTTTACAAATTCAATTGTTCTTCTCTCTGAATCTTGAGTCTGTGGATCTACTCTGCTTACCCCTAGTCTGGTTTCTGCATGTGCTGCTGATTCTCCCCGGGCTTTTGCTATCTCTGCTGCCACACCCAGTACCAGCTCAGGCTTCCAGTATTTTTGCATCCAACTACCCAATTTCCTTTCCTATTCTTTCCTTTGACACCCCCTGGGGCTTAGAGGGGGCAGTAGAACTCAACTTCAAGGTCAGTTTCCTCTGGAATGCCCATATGCCACATATCTCTACGCTACCTCCTCAGTTTCCTGGGAACTCCTGGTACTGGCTGCCAGGGGACGATTTCTCTGAACTCTGTCCTTACACTTCTCTTTCTCCTCACACTGTCAGTGCCACAGAGTTCTAGTCACTTTGGTTAAGCAGCCATTTTTCCATTGTTCTGGGTTTAGCTATGAGCCACCCTCATGGCCTACAGACAGGAAACTGTTAACATTCTTTCCCATGTTTACATTTGACCTAGGGAATCCTGAACTGCCAGGTTGTTAAGGATCCATATGCCATACATAATCAGGCAAAAAGGAAACAAAATTGGAAGAAATCTTATCCTTAGCAGTTTGACCCCTTTGCATTGAAGATCAATGCTCTCCCAATTCAGTGAATGGTCCCAAACCTTTACAAACTCATGTCACACCTGTAAGAGTCATCAGCTGTGCAAAGATGACCTAGAAGACTCATATTCAGTGGCTTACTAACAAAACTTTGACTATCTCTGATGATGCCACTAAGCCCCTCCATGTCCTCTGTGTCCCTTCTGCTCGAAGCTGAAGGTGGAGTATATGACACCTAATGATTTAACAACCATGTCCCTGCCCAGGCTCAAGGCCAGGGTGGCCAATTGGATTCTTTTGACATTGACACCTGTGGAAACGAAACCCCTCACAAACACTTATCTGTAATCCAGGCATCTGGGGGAGGGGATCCTTCATTAAAAGCCCAAAACAGACAGGCAGCCATACATAGACTGGGGCTCCCCCGCCTCCCTTCTTCTTTTTCATGGTTTCCCCTTCCTCCCACAGAACCATGAGTTTATTGATGAGCAGATGTTTGAGCAGAACTGCATGGAAAGCTCAATGCAGAACTACCCGTCCACCAGAAGTCCTTCTCTGTCCAGTCACTCGGGCCTCACCACCACCTGCTGCTCCCGTCGCAGTAAGAAGACCACACACCTGCCCAACTCCAACCTGCCAGCCACTCGCCTGCGCAGCATGCAAGAACTCAGCACGATCCACATCCAGGGCAGTGAGCAGCCCTCCCTCACCACCAGGTGGGTGGTTTCCATTCCCTTTCCAGAATTAAACAATCTCCACATTAGAACCTCAGGGATCCCCTAATGGTTCCCCTGATCTACTGCATGGGGCCCCTCTGCTTTCCTCCCAACCTTCCTTCTCATGCTTTAAAGTAATCCAGGGGTCTTCATGGGATATTGGATGATACTATAGCAGTTTAGGTCAAAAGTGGCTTTAGGTAATAAGAGGGAAAAAACTAAAAAAGAATCCAAAAATTAAAAAGATGGACTATAATCATTTTCCTAAGAAAATACTTTTCCCAACTAACTGTGTTACATATATATGGCTTATCCCAAGCTGATTGTGAATCACAGACTGACTTTTCCTTCCTGTTACTTCCAAATAAGTTGCAGAGATTTCAGGGAAAGCAAATGTCATAACAACACAAGTGATAAGCCCATGAGGGCTGGGAAGAAGTACTATCTGATGACTTAGGAATTGTTACTAGTGACTAGAATGGTAATTATAAGCTGATTGTTAAAGGCACAGATCAAAGGCTGAATAGAGTTCCTTGGTATAGCATAGACCAAAAAACAATGCAGGGGGTCAAGGAAGATTTGAGGTGCACACAAGCAGGAACCATCACCAACTCACTCTTTTCTATCCCAGTCGCTCCAGCCTTAATTTGAAAGCAGACGACGGACTGAGACCAAACTGCAAAACATCCCAGATTACCACAGCCATCATCAGCATCCCCACTCCCCCAGCTCTAACCCCAGAGGGAGAAAGTCGGCCGCCTCCTGCCAGCCCAGGACCCAACACGAACATTCCTTCCATAGCCAGCAACGTTGTCAAGGTCTCTGCCTTGTAAAAACACTGGACAGAGGGCCCGAGGGGGTAGTGGGGAGTAAAGGGGGCTGGCATGTTGGTGGGTGGCCACTGAGACCACTCCCTCCCCCTTTCCCACTATTTCTGCCTGCCCCATTGCACCCCTAGCACCGAGACTTGTGCCTGGAGGGAAAAGGAAGCAGCAAAGGGTTCCTGAGGATCCCACTGCTGGTGGGGACACAGCCCTGTGACATTGCATCTTGCTGGGGCCGGAGGAAGGGAGGGGGTGGGTAGGGGATGGGCCATTAGGAGGTGTAGGCCGCTTGCCTGGACAGGGCCTGGTGGGGGCACCTCAGACCAAATAACAGTTGTTTCTGGAGACCCCAGCGAGGAAAACACAAGACCAAGAGCAGCTCAGAGGCCGAGTCGCCACACGCAAACAGGAAGAAAAATATAACACTGTGTATTAAGCACCTTTTTCAAGGATCTTAATGGATAATATTTATTCATGGGAAAAGGTGGAAAACAAAATAATCAATGGATTTTTGTGAAATGTTTTTCTCCATGGACCCAACACCTTTAAACCAAAACAATGCATTTTGTGAGGTTGGTTTTTATTTTTCTCCTTTTATAGCAAAAGCTTTTAGGCTCAAAGTCAGTTATTGCTGAGTTCCCTTCCCACTCCCAGGGGGAGTGAGGTCACCTTTGCTGGGTCCTCACTGCCCAGCCGACCTGCACAGAGCTGTCAAGCAACCACACAGCAACCCTTCTGCTCCGTCCGTCTGTCCGTCTGTCTCCTGTCTCTGTACCTATCTGCTTCACCTTGGCTGTTTCTGTATCCAACTGTCTGTCTCACCATGGACAGTAAAGCCTTCTCTGTCACTGCCAAGTACTGCAGACCTGTGCCTGGGAGTCAGGCCGAGCAAATGCAAATACAGAAAAGAGAGGAAGTCAAGTGGGGTGAGTCGAAGGGTGAGGTAAGTCGACCTTGTGAACAGAGGTGCTTCCCTTGTGATTGGAACCACTTGGCTTTGTCGTTTGTTGTAGGGGGAGTTGGGGAATAGTCATGTGTATCACACTGAGTCTTGAAAGTGGAAACAGCAACTTCAGAAAGCAGTTGTTTCAGCTCTACCCCAGGGAAGACAGAAGCACCAAGGCTCACAGCTTCCAGAGCTCCAGGGCACCTTGCTGTGGACCTTCCTTTAGGATCCACCATGAAGCCCATGCAGTGAGTGCTCTGCCGAGCGGCTCCATGAGCATCCTCAAGTAAGAACAATGGACTTACGGCCCGAGGCAGTTCCTATACAGAGGTTGTGAAGGTTAAGCTTGTGTGCCTCGTGAGGGATGTTTCAAAGCAAGAAAGCAAGCAAGAGGCTCTAGATGATTCTCTCCTGGTCTAAAAGATGCCTTGAGGTCTGAGTCATCTTCAGGCCTCATCTCTGAAGACAGCTGAAGTGTGGGAACACTGATGACCTCCACGCAAATGAGGGAGTGGAGATTACTTCTTGAAAACGTGGATAATATGTTTGTTCAAGTTATTTACATGGTAGTGGGCCTGGGAACAGTATTTCTGGAATCTTCCTAATCATTTTCACCACTTACAATGGAGCAGGTTAGCCTCGGGTTAGTTACAAGTGTCCTTTCCCGCCCTTCCCAACCCCAACTACTTTCCTGCGGTTTCTGAAGCCTGGGATCTGAGGCATATGAGCTGCTTAGGAACTTCTCATCCATTTTACAGCTCACAGATAAGCTGTTCATTTGCAAGTCCAAAATCTCTCTGCCTACTACAACTATAGATGGGTTTTTCTGGCCAGGGGCCTGAAAGCATTCCTGGGCCTTCCATGGCCCCAGCTCCAGTGACTCTGTACACAGAGGAGTCCAAGTGTTTTGAGGTGGTACCAAACCATAAAGTGGACAGAAAGGCAGAAGGTGCCCTTCTTTCCATCTTTATCTCCCTGTCCTTATCCTCAGTGGCTATCCTCAGTGACAGTCCTTTCTTTAGATCTGGCCCCAGGATTTCCCCTTATCATGGGCATGGAGTTATTCTTGCAATCCAGTAATTCCGTACATACATTTTTATCAGCCAAGGCAGAGAGCCAAGCTGGACCCAGTTTTAGCAGGTAGACAAAGAACTAGAAAAGGATCTTTCTTTTGAAAGAATGGACCATGGGACAAAGGGATGTCTAAGTGCATGATACATCCTAAGAACTGAGTGGGATAAGGATACAGAATTTAAAAAGAACACTGTTGCAGTCACATACAAGCCACCATTCTATTTAAGAACAAGTCACTACAGGGCTAAGATGATGACTCAACCAAGGATCTCCATGTCATTTGGACAGTGCACAACACAGCATACTATGGCTCTCATGAAAAGAAATATATTTTTTAAATTGTGGCCCCCAAATTCCATGTTTTATTGACTTGAGTGAACAGATGTTTGTGTTGCTTCTATTTCATTTCCAAAGCCCATATCATGCCTGTTCCCCCCAAAAAAAAAGGATTAGACCCTCTTCACTTTCATCTTCCCATTGCAGTCTTGTTAGGGGATAAGGGACCCAGCTCACCTGTGCGCAAAGATATCAACGAAGGAAAACAGCTCACAGCCATATATCTCCTAAGGGTATTTGTGATTAAGTACAGGGACAAAAGCGTGCTGGAACAATTTAGTAAGTCTGACTCATTGGCTAGTAAGTGAAGAGCCAGGATATCAGAATCTTCTGAAGACCAATAGCTTTCTGGTGCAATGACTCACGGTGCACAAACCATGTTAGACTAACTGAAAATTCCCCAAGCTACCACTCCATTCAACCCTACTGAGCACTGGGAGAGGTTATCAAAAAGGCAAATATAAAAAGCCTAAGACTGCATTCAAATAATAAATGGGAATAACTTGGAAATATAATATTGAATATACCAGACCTAGAGAAGATTAAACAACAGCTAATTCATTTTACAGTGTAGCAAACTGAGGCCCAGAGAACTTGATTCCCTCAAGGTAATGTAGTCATTTAAGGATAGAATAGGGACCAGAGCACAAGACCCTTGGCTACTAGTCTAATGTGTTTTGTTTTGTTTTGGGGTTTTTTGTTTGTTTGGGTTTTTTTGTTTTTTCAATCACACTCTTTGCCTCGCAGAGTTAATAATATGTTGGGGAAGGTCCATCAAAGATGCCATGACATAACTAGAGATACTCTTGTGTAAATGTCAACACAACTTGATGTAGCCCTGGAAATCACCTGACTATACTAATACAAATTATAGACATCGGAGCCACCATTTCTTGGGTAGAGCAAGCTACAGGTGATCAGTTCTATCAGAAATAGGTGAAAAGGGAATGTCCAAGATTTTCCAGGCAAATGCTCAATTTTCTCAAAGAAAAAGAGACTTGGACAATGACATTTCAAAGCATACTTTTCTGTTGCTTCTCACCACAATCTGTGAAGGTAGTCAACTTAGTAAATCCTTGATTCAGAGAAAAGAAATGGGCACAAAGAAACTGAATGACTCATCCAAGGTTCCATGGCAAGTTAATGGCAGAATTATGATTTGATTCAGAACTTAGACATCATGTCCTGGGAGAGTCTTCTATATCCTGCTCTATGGCTCTAAGGTTTGCTCATATTTTTAAAAGCTGGATTTCAAAGGAGATGATTAGGGGAAACATTCCTGAAGTAGCAGGACCTCCTGAAACAGACCATTATTTCTTCCTAATTCCCATTTTTCCTAACTAGTCTCAAGCTCAGGACTAATTGTACAGAACCCCTTTCAAAAGACCAGTAGATACTCTCAACAACTGAGTGTTATTAGAATATGACCACATAATTTGAACAGATGTTAAGGAGGATGGTAAATGATGATCCGTGGCTGACAAAGGTCACATACAGAACTGCTGAGGACATTATACAGTTGTTTTGTTTTCCCTGCAGTTCAGGATCAAGTCATTTTCTTATCAGAATGCAGGTAGGGAAAGTACCTGGGAGCATTATAGGCCTAGATCATTTTCCTTGTCTTTTTAAAATAGCAGTAGTGATTGAAATTGAGCTAGCATTAGATTTGAAATTATTAATGAATTCTAGTGATTCAGGCTCCCTCACTTCAATTACTAGGTAACTAAGTAAGGCAGAAGAAGCCCAATACCATTCATTTGAAGTAATAGTTTCCCTTTCATGCTAGTTGGCATGGTAACCACCGTAAAAAGAACACGAGAGACTTTTATTTTCCCTCTGATTTCCTAATGAATTCTCATTACTTGCAAAGCTTTAAAATGATGGGATAAAGGAAAAACATTGTCATGACCCATGACACTTGGAGCCCAAACAGCATCATGAAAAGCATTAGAACCAAGGAAACATGGCTTTGAAGAATGAAATGGCTTTTTAAAGGGGTTCCTTATGGGTCTTGTTTTTTATTCAGGATATTCTATGTTTTCTCATCAAATGTAGTAATGACATTTATCTTAGCAGGTTATTTAAACTAAGCTGGCTGATGTCACATTAGCCAGTACAGGGCACTGACCCAAGTCCTGGGGGACTACTTGGACCAATGGACTATTTTACAATCCAGGGAGGTGGGAGGGATGGTATATTTTTGATAATCAGACATTCCAATGTTTTCCTTAGAGGTCATGAGCTCCCATTAATGTTCTTGTGAAAAACATCAAGTGTGTTCTTTTCTATTTTCGTATAATTACTGGGCTTTGCTTAACAACATCACAACGGCAAAGAAATACACTGTACAAAACTGCAGGAAGACAAATGTGAAAACTTTCTGTGGGGGAAGAAAAAGCTCTTAAGTTTCTTGTCTTCTTTTGAAACTGTAGTGCATATGTTATAACATGTATATCATTTACAGTATTGAGTCCTGTGCCACTGCTGTACCTGATGTATCCAATCTGGATTAAACAAACTATGTGCCACAAGCCTTGAAGTGGGGGAGTTTCTTTGAAAACCAGTGCTTTCCCTTCCAAAAACATTGCCGTACAGCAGGACGCTTTCTGTCCTGCTAGAGCAATGACATACTCTTCGGGGAAAGGCCTCATCTAACCTGCCCGGCGCCTTCCGTATAAGCAAGGCCACTGCTTCCTGGAGCTTGCCTGCCAACACGCTCTAGGCAGGTTCACTGCTTTAACAGGAGACCACTGGATTGAATTTGTCTATAGCTCTCTCTTAAGGACCAATTACTAAACAAAAAATCTGTCTTTATATATCAGTATCGGTTCTATTAAGGCTTCCTCTAATATTTGCTCCGCTTAGACCAAAGTCTGAAACAAACCACTCTCTCTTTTTCTCTCTCTCTCCCCTCTCTCTTGACATTAAATGCTAGTAAAAGTCGTGACAAGCAAGAGAAGCACAAGCTCAGGGTCATCACATGTTGGTGACTTCACATCTGTCACCTTTTCTTCCCTTCAGTTCCTTTCTTGACTTTAAAGGGGAGTAGGGCAGGATTAAGTACCTTTTAAGGTCTGCCTAACCTTAATAATTCTGTTCATGTAAGAGAAGCATTTTCATGTTCTGTCATGCAACAGCACAAATTTAAATCCTTTTCATTCTCCAAAACCACCAGATCCCAACCAATGGAAACAGTAAAAGAAGAAACACAGTATGCTCAAAAGTCCAAGTCCATTATGAAATTCATTGTAAGCACTGACATTCACATCCTTACTACCCACTAGGTGTCACTAAAGACCTATAGCTCAAATAATCTGGACGAAAACTGGGAAGTACATGCACTCAGCAACTCTGCCTGCGTTCAGCAATTCTTTTTCATTAACAAGCACTCAGTGTGTAAAGCCTCTGCAGGTTTGATGGTGAGTTTTGATTCCCAGATTTACAGGATAGAAGGAGAGAATTGATTCCTGTTAAGTTATCCTCTGACCTCCACCCATGCACCATGACATGCAGGCACACACAAAATTAAAATATAATAAAACTTTTCTCACTATGTAGCTCTGACTATCCTGAAACTATGTAGACCAGGCTGTCCTTGAACTCAGAGATCTGCCTGCCTCTGCCTCCTGAGTGTGTGTGCCACTGTGCCCAACACTTTTTTTTTCTTTCTTTTTTTTTTTTTTTAAGAAAGAGTTTTTCTGTGTAGCTTTGCGCCTTTCCTGGAACTCACTCTGTAGCCCAGGCTGGCCTTGAACTCACAGAGATCCGCCTGGCTCTGCCTCCCGAGTGCTGGAATTAAAGGCAGTGCAGCCGCCCTGCCGCTACCACTACCTGGCTCCACCTCTTAATAAAACTTTTAAAGCACTAAATGTCAAGTAGTATACACACTTGTTCAAAAGATAAAAAACAAAGACAGTCTGCCCCAACAAGACAAGACCTTTGTGACAGGGGTGTCAACAATAACTATGAAAAATGTAAGTTATTTTATATTTAAAAGGAAATGGAAAAAGCCCTCAAAAACTTGTTCCAGGGTTGCGGATTTAGCTCAGTGGTAGAGCACTTGCCTAGCAAGTGCAAGGCCCTGGGTTTGATCCTCAGCTCAAAAAAAAAAAAAACTTTATCTTAGACATGGCCCACAGTACAATCATTCTTCTTCAATTACTTTTAGTGTTCTGAGACTGAAGTTTACCTAAAAGACACACACTTTTATTTAAAAAGTCACTAAAGAAGTAACTTGTATTCTCAGAATTATCCAAAGAGGGCTGGAGGCCTGCTCAGTGGTTAAGAGCACTTGTTGCTCTTCAGGACCCAGATTCCATTCCCAGCACCCATGTTGGGCAGCTCACGACTGCCTTGAACTCCAGTTCCAAGGGATCCAGCACCCTCTTCTAGCCTCTGTGGGCTCTCACACACACATTCGCATAAACAGGAAAAAAAAAAAAAAAAAAACTACTACTATCCAAAGAAGCAAGTTTCTCTAAGATCTCTGTATGTAATAAGGAATGCCTAATTCAAGCTTAACCTGAGCTTACAGTAATGGACTGGAAATTTTGAAAATTCAAGAATTACCTAGATAGGTACAGAGATCCATGGCCAGGCACCAGGCTGAGCTCCAGGAATCCAATTGATGAGAGAGAGGATAGATACTGCAGGCGAGGGACATCGAGATCATGATGGGAGGACATGCAGAGATGACCAGCCACACTAGTGGAAGCCCATGAACTGTGGACTGGTGGCTGTGGAGCCCCCATGGGACTGGACCAGGCCCTCTGGATATGGAAGATGGTTGTTTGGCTGTTTGGGGGGCACCTAGGCAGGGGGTCGGGATCTGTCCCTGGTCTATGGCCAGGCTTCTGGAACCCGGTGCCTGTTGTGTGACACCTTGCACAGCCTTGGTGCAGTGGGAAGGGGCTTGGACCTGCCTAAGTTCAGTGTGCTGGGCTCTGCTGACTTCCCATGGGAGACCTCGATTTGGGGGATGTGGGGATGTGGGGTAGGTGGCTTGGGAAAGAGGGCTGGGGGTGGGAGGAGGGAGGAGGGGGGAAATCTGTGGATAGTATGTGGAGTAGAAAATTTCATAAGAAAAATGAAAGAAAAAAAAGTAAAAAAAAAAAAAGAGTAAAAAAAAATACCTAGACACTCTTATTTACAAATTTGAATTACCTTTCTCATAAAATACTTTCTCATTATGAGTCATATAAAAATTAAATCTTACAAGGAACCCTAAAAATCTAATCCAATGTCTCATTTTATTGAGAAAGCTGGGTTTGGAGAGGTTAGATGACTGTACAAGGTACAAAAGTAGGTAGAATGTCTTCATCAGGACAAGTTTTCTTTTTATAATACAAGTTCCCAACTGACTTTACAGAAAACCTGTGTGCATGGTTTCTAACACGTTATGTGGCCACACGCCTGACTGAAGGTTCCTAGCAAAGTGTGCCCCTCCACACACACAGTAATCTACGCCCAAGTGGTAGTGAATGTCTCCCACTTTCACCTCTGCAGCCACCACGACCTGGAATGGAAACAGCTGCCACCAGCCTGCTTTCAAAGTGCCTCGGATTTCTAAAGCTTTAATTCATATACTTGCTATTGGGATTTGGGAGGTTTTTGTTTTCCATTTACTTAGTGTATGGGATACAGAGTGTACTCCTGGCAGTGAGTGGACAACTCCTTCCATGAAGATCAAAGTCAGGTCTTCAAGCTTGGTGGCAAGTGGCAAGTGTGCTTACCAGCCCTCTCTACAGCCCTGTAACTACGTGAAGCTTAAATTAGGCGTTCAGTGTTAACATTTACAGAGATCTTGAGGAAGCCTGCTCCTCTGGATAACTCTAAGAATGCACATTATTCTTGGAGTAACTAAAAGTAATTTTCTATCAAAAAAAAAAAAAAAAAAAAAAAAGGCAAACACAAAACAAACCTAGAGAGAATCCAATTAATTTCAAGACTAATGGTAGCCTCCTCCCTAATTAGGATGCAGTAGTGTATCCTAATTAAATCCCCTAGCAATGGCAAACTATGAAGTTGGCTCTGTTGTAGGGGGAGGATAGAAAGAGGTGAGTTCAATTACATAGTAATGACAGGATCTTATTTAAGTGTATAATTAAAATCTCTATTATCTTAGTAATATATTGGACTTAATCTAGGTTTGCCAAATTATTTCATCTAACTTCACTAGTATTGACTTTTCTGTATACGATTGACCATGCCAAATCACAGAAATTCAAGCTGAACACTGTAAGACTATATCCTAGGGATGTTCCACATTAAATGAAAATGGCTGTGGGTGTTTGCTGACACTAGTATAAAGGGTCTATACCGCTAAATATGTACACAGCAAAGAACTTTCCTTTCTTAAAGTGAATAATTTCCCACTACAGAAGGGATTCTCTCACCTAAAATCTATTTCACAGCAAAATCCCAGACCAAAAAGTTTAATGATAAAAGAACATTTAGCCTCTAATTATAACTTTTCTAAATCATAATTTGCAGAGGCACTACCAGCTCTGAAAAATGATAGCTCCTCTTAGATCCTAGTATTCAAGAAGAAAAAAAAAAAAAAACTCTTTAGCACAGATTAACAATATTATGACATACTATTGGAAGAGTCAGAACAGAATGAACTCATCTTCTAGCAAACACTCAACACTAAGAGCTAGAACTTTCCATTAGCCTACCAACAGAACTAGGAAGTCCACATCTATGCATCTCACATCAAGTCTCAACCTGGGTTGCATAGATGCACTTCAGAGGACCCAGGAGCCCTTTGAAATTTTGTTCACAGTCCCACTTACGGAATGGGAAATGTTCTTGGGTCGACCTATCTATGGCTTCTAAGAGACTCATTTAGAACACAAGAAGCAACAAGAAGCTGCCCCTTCCGTGAGCAGCAGAAGGCAGCCACAAGATGACACTGACCTACTTAACACAGTGAAACGTGGGCAGCCTCCACAGCTTCTTCAGGAAGATGAACAGAAAGCATCCAGAACATTCACCTAAATCTGTTTTCACAACTAACAAAACTACCACTGGAAGCAGAGAACATTTAGATTCCTTCTTGCCTAATACTCAAAGATCCACCATGATCAAATTCCCATGAGAATGCAGCAATACAGAAATGCAGTGCAATCCTTTTGTAAGGAAGTCCACAGAATAACATTACATTCAAATTTTAACTTTTTAATTTTTTTAAGTAAGGAGTGCCATATGTCACCTTTTAAAAGGCTTCTTTTGGGAACAGTCTACATGAAGTGGCACTTTGGGGGTCTTTAGATCCAAGTTCTAAAAATTCTCTTGCAAGTCTGATGAAATTGAAAAAAAGAATATTCCTGGACCAAGTCAAAAGAATCTGAAAAATAGTTGTGTCCCAGTAGAAAGCCTCAGAGTCCTCTCAAGTTCCTCCAAAATGCCACCATACTCCACTTGCTCTAGGTGAAGAATGCATATCTAATTATGTGTTGAGAGTCAATGGTTTCAGGCACATCCTAACATCACTGGTTACTACGCATCATTTCTTGTAGATAAACTGTATTCATATGGTAGGCAGCCATCCAACTTGGATGTCTCTGAGCATTCCAATAGTATGAGTGGGAAGCCGCAGCATAATATTCCTGCCATGCCCTGTAATATGCTCTCCAGTATTCCTCATAATCCTGGTAGGTATCAGAGAAACTCGCATTTGTCTCCCTGTGACAGTCATACCAAGCCTCTTCCTGGGGTTCTGTCTGGACGCGGTAAGAGGAGCGCCGTGGCGGGTTTCTCCGACTCTGCTTAGATCTTTGGTTAGCTCCTTCTTTATGCCTGGCCTTCACCTGGGTTTCAGGAGATTCTTGATACACTGCTTGAGTTGGAGTATCATTTCCATTCAGAACTTGTTCCAAAGAGAGAGGTCCACCCACAGGTGTACATTCAGAGTCTTTCAACTGAGTGTCAGAAGAGCCTTCCATGTAAGACTTATTGCCTTTGCTCTGGGAAGAAGTCCTTGAGCTGCAAGAATCGCTCTCACTCTCTGAGTCCCCAGACTGGCTACTACTCGCCAATATCTGTACTCTATCTTCAGGAAGTCTACTTCTCACAAAACCATTCTGAGGATTCACAGTCTGAGCCCCAGGCCCCGTGTAGTGGCGGATAATCTCCACAGGTTTTTCTAACCCCTCTTTAATATAGTGCTCATAATCCTCTACCAGTTCTGCAAAAGTCAAAGTGCACGGCTGATGGACTTTGAAGGAAGACAGGCAAGGAATCTTAGGGAGTGAGCCAGGGGAAGCGTCTTTGGCCTGCTGCTGGCTGCTACTGGAGGAGTCCTCACCAGTGGTCTGAACAGAACTCTTCACTTGCTCTTCCAGTTGTGTGGTACAGCCCAACTCTTCGGGTGGAACAGTCTTTTCTATGTTTCCACACTCTGAGTGGCTTTTCACAGGAAGCTTTTGTTTGCTGCTGTGTTTTGATTTGGCTGACACTGTAGATACAGAAGTATTTCTAGGGGAAGACATTTGGTTACCAGGAATTCTTTGAGTTTGGAAGGCTCTCTCCAGTTTGTGAACTTGCTTTTTGGTGGACTGGGTAGGTGTGCTTGGTAAGATGCATGTATGCATCGCAGCTTTAACTTCCACATCCCAATCCAAGCATTCTTCCATCAGGCCGGGAGGAATGGGATCTATATAGAAAAGAAAGAATACGAATTAAAATTCTCAGCCCAGGCATGGTAGTGCACACCTTTAATCCTAGCACCCTGGGGGTAGAGGCAGGTGGATCTCTGTGAGTTAGAGGCCTGCCTGGTCTACATATCACAAATCAGGCCAGTCAGGGCTACACAGTAAGACACTGTCTCAAGAATAAAACTGCAAAGCCTATAGCTTTGGCTCTAATTCAGTAGAATACTTTTCATGTGTCAAATAGTTACTTGACTTATCTTCTCTACTTATCAGCTGTTAACACTTTTACTTAACCTACATATTAACATATGCTTAAATGTCCTAATTTACAAGACACCGATTAGCAACAGCATGTACCTCACAAGCCTGTGGTGAGAAACGAATTAACATATATACAGTAGACATAATAGACACTATGTGCTATTATTTTTAATATGCCTACCATCACTATAACTGTAAGAATGTCAAAACTTTTGATTCAAAAGGAAGCTAGGCATGGTGGCGCATGACTTTGATCCCAGCACTTGAGAGGCAGAGGCAGGCATCTCTGTAAGTTCGAGGCCAATCTGGTCTACATAGTGAGTATCAGGACAGAAAGAACTACAAAGAGACCCTGTCTCAAGATAAACAAACAAACAAACAATAAATAAATAAAACCAGAAGAATGTCAAAAGGAAACAGAAACACACACCTGGTAAAGGGAGAAGGTTGATATTACATTTCTGGGCAATTTTCATCATCATATTTTCTTCTTCCCCTCTACAACAGTAGGTCACTGTCAGTCCCAACGTTCCTGAGAGAATGGAGTGACATAGTAACTCATTTCCACAGAAACAACAACAGTCATTTCGTTAAAGCACTAAACTTCCTTTTCCTTACCAAAGCGGCCAGCTCTGCCAATCCGATGCATGTATGTCTCCCAGTCTAACGGCACATCCAGATTCACTACCAGATTCACCTTCTCAGCATCAATCCCACGGGAGGTCTTGAAGACAATTGTTTGTATTAATTACAGCATGGCTACCAATGTATGCTCTTCTCGTATAACCAGAAGTCAGATTTAAAACAGGCAAATATTTAGGATTTGGAAGGAAAAATTCTATTTCTAATGACTAACTAGTACTAAACTATTTCAAAAACAAACATTAAGGCATTTTAAGAAAGCACTCCCCCGCCCCACTGGAAAGCTAATTTTTATCTCTGGCACCTGCTAGATACATGAACTAGGATGGCAACTAGCGACAACACACAAAGACCGACAGTCCCTCCGACCTCCCAGGAGCTTTACCAAGTCTGTAGAAATGAGGACTCTGCAATGAAACTGCTTCAGTTTAGCCATAGCATCAAGGCGCTGATTCTGGTTCATGTTACCTAGAGAGACCCACACAAAGGCATTTTACAACTCCTAAGCAAGCCAGGTATGGTGGCACACACCTGCTGTCTGTCATCCAAGCACACAAGAGATTGAGGCAGAAAGAGACAGAGTTCAAGGCCAGCCTAGACTCCATAAGATCCCCTCTCAAATACAGCAACAAAAACTTAAGATATATTTATCAAATCCACAATAAGAAAGAATCATAATTCCCAGTCTTACTGTTTTAAATAAATACACCAACCAGTTAATTCTATCCTATGCAAATCTGAGTGCTAAAATCTAAAGTTAGTATTTTTCAAAGTACAGTTTAGGTAATCAATTTGAAATTCAAAAATCAATTTTAAATGGTGACATTACGAAGTTTAACAAATACTTCTTAGGGAAAAAGTTCTTACCAACTATTTACAAATCTTATTTTAAGACTCTGTGTATGCCTGTGTCTATGTGTCTGACTGTAAATAGGCTGCATGGGCCTATATGCATTCAGAGGCCAGGAGAGGCCATCAGATCCCCAGGAGCAAAACCACCTGGTTTGTTATGTGGGTGGGTGCTGGGGTCCAAACTCTTGTGCACATGATTGCACAGGAAGTGCTTTTAACACTGAGTCCTCTCTATAGTCCACAAAGCTGGTTTTGAAATGTGATCCAGGGCTAAGCTAGCACCCCATTAGGAAATTAGTCTCCCTAGTATCTCATACTGAATATGTTCCAGCAAACAAGTTAAGAATTACACTACAACATATAAAACTGAAAGGATCTCATTAACCAAAAATTACTTTATATTTTTTCTATTAATCCAGCAATTAATAAACTCTGTGGATAAAGTGAGTCACTTTTGTCTTCCATAGACCATTAAAGTCAATTCACCAGCTGGAGGTATAGCTTTAGAGAAGAGTATTTACCTAGCACATGAAAGACCAAGTCTGACGGTAGGGAGCAGAGAAGATAACTCAGCTAGTCTTAGCATGTTTTTCTATGACAGGGTCTTGCTATGCCACTCACACTGGCCTTAATCTTAATATAGTCAAATATGGCCTCAAGCCCGTGACCTTCCTGCTCCAGCCTGGAGAGCACATGGAATAACATAACCCTGCTCAAATTTTGCATTTTAATAATGACTTGATTATATGAAGAAACAAAATGTCTTAAGACCATGAAGATAAATTTTGTTTTATAGAATTAAGTTCTTTGCAAATATAACTCAGAGACTTTAATTAAAGTATTTAAGAGTATTTAAGTATCTCTGATTACTGATTTTCTAAGTTGTTACTACAGACCAAGTTACTCCTTAAACAAATTAAATTAAAAAAAAAATCCAGGAGAATGATATCAAATTCCAATGAAAAATAAGCCTGAATTTCCTTTATGATTAGTGCAACCTCACACTCATGAAACAATTCAAAAAGTGATGTTTTTCTCTTGATGTGGAAGGCTTCAAGACAATGCATTAAACAAAAACAAAGAGTTGGACTTGCCTGAAATGCATTCAGTAGGAAAACCTTTAGAAGAAAGGATATCAGCCAAATGTTGAGCTCTACAAGAAAAAAAAAGAGATTTACAACTTTCAACTACTGCCTCACGCCTATTCTTTTGTTTCTGTTTTGGTTTTTGTTTTTCGAGACAGGGTTTTCTCTGTGTAGCTTTGAGCCTTTCCCAGGAACTCACTCTGTAGCCCAGGCTGGCCTCGAACTCACAGAGATCTGCCTGGCTCTGCCTCCCAAGTGCTGGGATTAAAGGCGTGCGCCACCACCGCCCGGCCTTTGTTTCTGTTTTTTAAGTTCTCTGGACTAAATTATATTACCTGCTGTGCAAATTAGAAAACACCAAGGCTTGATTAAATGGGATTCTACTGAAAAGTTCCTGTAAGTGCTGAGTCTTTTCCTCAAAAATCTTATGAGGCAAAGGGTAAGAATTGACAACTTGGTAGTACTGCTTCAAACCTACAAAGAAATCAAAAGTCCCCAGTTAAAACAAACACATCTGATGAATTCCAATGGCAACTATGATGTGGTCATAGCCAATTAGACAAGGGAAGCTTCACAATGTCACACACTAATACTGTAAAATCTATACATACCTATGAGGCTTGGATCACTGGGATTCAATCTTACAAATGTGGGATCTCTCATATACCTTGTCAAAGCATTAGCCAAAAATTCAGGATAAGTAGCAGATACTGCCAACATCTGTTTACTGGCAGGTAAAGAAGAATAAATCCAACTGTAAATACAAGAAAACATAGACCATGAAAACTATGCAGACAGCAAACACTTAAACAACAAAAAAAAAAAAAACTACAGACGGACACTTAGACACACATTTTTCTAGTCAAGTTAGTTTTCTTACTTTATTTGCTCCTGGAAGCTGCCTTCTTCTAAGAGCTTGTCTGCTTCATCAAGAATAAAGAGACGGATACTGCCTGGATTCAGGTAGTCAAGTTCTATGAGCTGTTTAATTCTACCTATACGCCAGGAAAACAGCAAAGCCTGAAATACTTATGACATATCAAATCTGTACAAACCAACCTCAGGAATGCTTTACTGTATTTATCCACAGGTGAATTTTATACTGCTGAATTTCCTCACAGTGCACATTCACACACTAGCTCACAATCTTAGTAATCTTAAATTCTCATCTTGCCTGAATCCCCCACCCTACACACTTTTCATCCCTGATAAATATGGAAAACAAACATCACTGCTATCAAAAGACATAAATGCTAAAACACTGAATTCTAGAGTCTGAGCGACTGACGAGCAAATTACCAGCGAGAACAACAAAAATCTTAATCCATGGCTTAGACAAGTTTCCTCAAAGTCACATCACATTTCAGAAGCCTAGCCCATGGGTATTTTCAAACATGCTTTAGAATGGAGATGAACAGATTCTGTTGATAATCCAGCCACGTGTCTCACTGGTCTAATGTTCTTCACTTCTAGTGAAAGTCATTTATCCCCATCATCAAAGACTCCCATCCAGTGTTCAATTCCTCAAGAACTTCAGCTACCAACAGGTATTAATAACTTACCAGGAGATCCAACAGCAATGTGACACTTTTTAAGTCTGGTTTTATCTTGAGATAACGGAGTCCCTCCAATAAAGACATGACATTCTAACCCTTCCATTTTTATTCCAATGGATGTAATAACAGAATGTATCTGAACAGCAATTTCTCTTGTGGGAGCCAATATCAAAATCTAAAATAAATTGTAAAATATTACTTTAACAAGTCAGAGGAATACATATGAGTGATGTATTCATTGCATGCTGCACTACTTTTCATTTTATTTTATTTTTTTTTTTTTTTTTAAGATTTATTTATTATGTATACAGAAGAAGGTGCCAGATTTCATTACAGGTGGTTGTGAGCCACCACGTGGTTGCTGGGAATTGAACTCAGGACCTCTGGAAGAGCAGTCGGTGCTCTTAACCTCTGAGCCATCTCTCCAGCCCACTACTTTTCATTTTAAGACAAGAGAAATATTCCATTTATTTACTCAGTTAATTTATTTTTTTCTTTTCTTTCTTTTTTTTTTTTTTTTTTTCCGATTTTTCGAGACAGGGGTTCTCTGTGACTCAGTCCTGGCTGTCCTGGAACTCACTCTGTAGACCAGGCTGGCCTTGAACTCAGAGTCACAGAGACCCACCTGCCTCTGCCTCCTGAGTGCTGGGATTAAAGGCGTGCACCACCACTGCCCGGCTTACTCAGTTAATTATTAAGAACCTACTATGTGGGAGAAAACATACAAGTTGTAAAGAATTTCTCTCTTGGCACTCTGGTTATAATATAAACAAAAAATATATACATGTAATAGCAAGTAATAAAAAGTATGATAAAAAAAAATCAAATAGGGAAAAAAGAAAGACCTGACAAGGGAAGTCATTTTAAATGGGGTGATCAGAAAGCCCGTCTGAAGTGAGGTGTGTTGGCATACACCTGTGATTCTACCATGCTAAAAGAGATAATGGAGGACTGCCTCAAATTGAAAACTAGTCTATGTTGCAAGTTTCGGTCCATCTAAAACTATGGAGAGTATGCCTTCCTCCAACAAGCAAACAAAAAGAATTTTAAGAGCTCCATAAGGAAGTAACATTTGAGAAGAGCTAGTTGTGAGACATACCAGAAGAAAAGAAAAAGTAAATTCAAAGGCCTTAAGATACACATGAGGAACAGCAAAAAAGCCCACGTATGAGATAAATTTTAAGAGGAATCTATCTCAGAGCTAACTCCCAGGGTTAGGTCCCAAAGGCCATGAGAGCCACACATAGTAAAAACTGCAATATAACAACTGGAGAACATACACGTTGTCACTATAAGAAAATACTGCTTGAGCCGGGCAGCGGTGGCACACGCCTTTAATCCCAGCACTTGGGAGGCAGAGCCAGGTGGATCTCTGTGACTTCACGGCCAGCCCGGGCTACAGATTGAGTTCCAGGAAAGGCACAAAGCTACACAGAGAAACCCTGTCTCAAAAAACCAAAACAAACAAACAAAATACTGTTTGAAAAAAATAAAAAAAAGACTAGGAAATAAAAATGTTTTTTTAAAAGTCCATCCCTTAACTCTGGGTACACATCACACACGGGGTTCTTTGGTACTTTGATCTTTTCTCTGAAATTTCCCGACTTAAAAAAATTATGTAGTGTTACTTTGATACGCACGCACGCACGCACGCACGCACGCGCGCACGCGCGCACGCGCGCACGCGCACACACACACTTTCAATAATATCAAAAATCTTAACTAAAATATGAATTTAACTTAGGTTTAGGATTTGGTATGCTGCCAAATATCACAAGCCAAAACTCTCAAACACAACCTAATTTACAAATAGACCAGCCACTGTCCTTAAGAAGTATTTCAGTATCTCCCAGAATTTGGTAGATACAAAACTCAAAAAGGTTCCTAGACAACAAGGGCACACCTTTAATCCCAGCACTTGGGAGGCAGAGGCAGGAGGATCTCTGTGAATTCCAGAGCAAGTTTCAGGACAGCTAAGGCTACACAGAGAAACCCTCTAGAAAAAACAAAACAAAAAAACCAACCACACGAAGTTCTGCCATAGCATATTATATAAACCAAAACTTCTACCTTCTATGTCTAACCCCAATCTAGTAAGTAAAGTTTTTAATTGCATAATGATTTTACAAGTTTTTTATTGCATAATGATTTTAATTGACACATATTCAAGATGTAATTACAGAAAATTCCAAATTTAAAAAACTGGAAATTTAATTTTTAATTTTAATTTAAAATGTAATTTTCATACGGTTTGGCTCCCATTCAAACTCACCATCTGTGAGGAGTTAGTTTTTCCTAAGTCTAGCTAGTGTCCACGTGCTACACACCCCCCTCTGGATCCTCTGAGTTAAACTCACCTGAGTACTACAGTTTTCAAGAATAAGAGAGTCGAGAGCAATGGTGGAGAATACACAAGTTTTCCCAGTGCCAGACTTAGCTTGAACAATCAAATCTGAGGAAGGAAAAAAACAATATCTATCATTAGCTAGATTCACTGAAGCAACTAGATACCGATATGGGATCTGGGAACGACCAGGTTCTCTCCTAAGACCACCTAGTTGTCACCTGTATTTTTTTGATTGACTCTCAAACGCGCACGAGGCGTGCCTGATCCCTCAATCAACCACCGAACCATTTCCCCAGCCCCTGAGTCCCCGAATCTCGACCGCTGATCTCCTCCAACTTGGACTCTGGGCTACAAAGTCAACTGCGCGCCTAGAGCCTTGCCCAGCCCCGCAATGGCGCGGACCCGGGGCCCGCGCGGGCCACGCCGCCCCCTCCCCCGGCTGACCCCGGTCCTCACCGAGCCCGCAGCGCCCCAGCGGGATGGCCTTGAGCTGCACGGGAGACGGCCTCTCGAAACCGGCCGCCCGCAGCCCCTCCAGCACCGGCCGCGACAGCAGCAGCGACTCGAAATCCGCGGGCTCCGCCAGCACCACGTCCCCTGTTCGCGTCCGCGGCCCGCCGATGTCGTGAGCCGTCCGCAGGCTCCACGGGGAGCTGGGAGCCGGCTCCGCAGCCGGGACCGGCGCAGCCACACGCTCGGCCGCCATAGCGGAGTCCGCGGTTGTCAAGGCCGCCGGGGCTTCAAAAGCCGCCGCCATGGTAGCCGCGCCTCCAGATCTCGCGATATTTAGAGTTGAGGCGGGGCTCCTGGGAGCGAGAAGAGGAAAAACTTTATTGTCAGTTTCCCCGAGAAGACACGAACACACCTGGCCTGGAAGTGGAGGGGAGGAACGGAAGTCGGAGGCTGACACGCTGTAGGAAAAAAAAAATAACGAAAAACGTAGCCTGAGGAAGAGGCGGGGGAAGAGCGAAGGAAGCTGAGGCTACCAGTGTTGCCGCCTGCGGCCTGCAGAGGGCGTCGCGTGCCCGCGGTGGGCGCCGCCCGCCGCCCGCGGCTCTGACGGACGGGCTGCGCGGCGCTGGCTGCTCCGGAATCCGGCGCTCCGGGCGCGCTTTGTGACGCAGCGCGCGCGTCAGTCGCCGCCGCCGCCGCCGCCCTGGGGTCAGCTGCCCGGGTCTAGCCGGAGTCTTCGCTCTCCGCACCCTTCCCCACTGTCCCTCGGTGCCCGCGGACAGCGCCCCGGCACACAGCAAGCCGGGGTTTACCTCGCTAGGACAGCCCTGTCACGTCGGTGCCCCAGCCCCTTAGCACAGTGCGGAGCGCGTGACGGGAGCCTCATAGTATTCCGAAGTGGAAGCCTAACTGGACTGCCAAGTCCCAGGCTCCGCTTGAGTGCTCTCTTGAAACTCTAGGCTAATAGACGTCTCGGGTTGAACGCATCTTTTGTGGGCCCTTCCTTCCGATCTCGGGTGGGCAGCTAGCACATCACTTCCCCTTCCTCTAGACCCGCTCACACGTCACCTTGTTTAAGAGGTCTGTCTTGAAATCTTCAGTCACCCCCATCCTGTCTGCTCCCTGGCCTTTCCGATTATTCCCGTTCTTTGATTTTTGGTTTGACTGGCTTAGTTGGTTGGCTTTTTTTTTTTTTTTTTTTTTTTTAAGACAGAGTCTCCCTATGCATCTCAGGTTGGCCTCAAATTGGAAATTCTGCCTCAACTTGCCAAGTGATGACAGGTGTGTGCCACACCGCACCTGGTCACTCTTCACGATACAACTACCTAAAATATTTATTGTCTCTCTTACTTCCCCTGAAGACAGGGACCTATTCTGACTTGTTCCCTTTTGCCCCTCGTAGGAAAAACAAAATCTGAAACATTAAACAATACTTTTTTCCTCTCTCAAAATGCTCACACAGACCTGCACAGAGTTTTGTCTCCTAGCTAATTCTAAATAGCAAGTTGACAAGACCTATCACAAACCTCATTTGTCCTTAAGTATAATTCTGGTCTTGTTTCCCATACATGCACTGATGTCCCCACATCCCAGTTGTGTTGAAATATCTGGCTAGGAAATTCACTAGAAGAGGGAACTGAAGATGGATGCTGTTTGCTTACTAATTTACAAAACACTAAGCAAGCACCCACTATCCATATGAAGGAAGGGGAACTTATAAGGTACTGAAGATCACAACTAATAAGGAACTAATATGGCACTAACGATCACAGGCTTCCTCCTAGTTGCCCACATCTTTCATCCACCTAATCCACAAATTACAAATCTGAGAATTCTTTTTTGCTTTGCTCCACCCTCTTTCTAACAATTTACTGGCCGATAATGTCTCCAAATATCTCTTCTACTCCTTTTCAATATATATTTACTCTTGGTCTTTTGGTCATTCTAACTATTGCACCCTTCCCTGTTGACCTCCCCATCCAGAATCTTCTCTGTCCAGACCATGCACCTCAGAGGCATTGAAATGCCTTCTTTGTCTGCTTTCCTTTTTCCTAAGGGTTGAAGCAGCAACTTTGGCGTACTAAGCAAACACTTTACTATTTAAGCACATTCCCATCAAAGAGTGACTCATTCCTCACTTCTTCCTTCCTCTCTTCGTTTCTTTTCCTGTTGCTGTGACAAAGTACTTTGAGAAAAGCAACTTAAGGGGAAAGGGGTTTTTGTTTTGTTTTTCTGGACCACAGTTCATGGTACAGTCCATGATGGTGGGAAACTCAAGGCAGTATTGAACTTGAAGTATTGAAGTTGAACTTGAAGCAGCTGGTCACATTACATCCCCTTTCAAGAAGTGGACAGAGAACAATGAAGACCTGCTAGTGAGATGCTGCTTTCTCCACTTTATACACACCAGAATCCCCTGCCCAGAGAATGATCCCGCCCACATTAAGATGGGTCTTCCTACATCAACTAACCTAATGGCTCATCATCCACAGGCTGCTCAAAGGCCCATCTCCAGGTAATTCTAGATCCTGTCAAGTTGGCAGCTAATACCATTACAGTTCCTTTCTTTTTTCAATATATTTACCCACTCGTGTTCATACCATCATTAGAAACAAAAACTTGTTTTAAAGTAGATGAAAGGATAAATAAAGTGTGCAATTTACAGTGGGATAGTAAGCAGCCTTATAATGGAAGAAAATTTTGATAAATACTACAAAATGGATGAGCCTTGAGGACCTAATTCCAAATGAAGTAAGCCAATTAGAGAAGACAACTACTGTATGCTTCCATTTGTGTGAGCCCGCTAAGTGAATCAGAGTCATAGATGTAGAAAATACAGTTGTTGTTAGCAAGAGTAAGGAGATGAGCAAAAGAGAGTTGTTATTTAACAGATTTAGAGTTGGAGATTGCAAGACAAAAAAGTGTGGGAGATCCTGTTTCACATCAATGTAACTCTACTTAGTACTTGAAATATACACCTAAAAATCACCAAGATGCTAAACGTGGTAAGTGTATTGGCCACAATATTTTAAAATCTTAGCTTTCAAAAGTTTCTACCATTTTGGAAGATGGCTCCTCAGGTAAAGGTGCTTGCTTCCAAGCCTGACTATTTGAATTCCATCCAGGGACCCCATGGCAGAAGGAGAAAACTGACTCCTGCAAGTTATCCTCTGACCTCCACATACATGCTGCCATATGCACACAGCCACACACATGCACATGCATACTCAATTTTTTATTCTACTGGTACAGTATATTCAGTATTCTGATTTTTAATGTGTAATGAAAATACCCAAAAGAATGCGTACTATATTAATAAAGGCATTTACCCTTAAGAAGTGGGAAGAGAGGATTCAAGTATTCACCTTGTCTATTTTGATATTATTTGGCATTTTCAGAAGAAAAGACATTTTGAATGTAGTTTTTAAAACCATCAAAATGAGATGAACTGAACTGATGATATGAACCAGTTATATAAGAGCAGCTAGACAAGGCAGCTGGTGTGTCTAGTCTGGCTCTTGAGAAGCTGAGGCTGGAGGATCAGCACAAGTTTGAGGCCAGCCTAGGGTACATAGTGAGTTCTAGACCAGCCTGGGCTACAGAGTAAATACACACCTGGAAAGAATCATTGATCACATCTTTAACAGGATCACTGATTTTGTCTTCGGGTACTCTATCTGTGCCTTGTGCTTCAGGATTGTAATCCCAGAAATAAAAACAGGGAAATAAGCTCCTATAAACATGAGCCTTAAAGTTCTTCTGGTGGGGTGTTCTGTAGATGAACAGAGAAGCAAAGCAAATAGAACGGAGATGTCAGTGCTGTTGATCTTAATGATGATGGAGGACGATTGTGATAGTGGTGAGTGAGATGAATGTGGTAATGGTGGCCATCGAGATAGCTAACATTTATTAAGTTCTGTTCTTGGAGGGAAATTACAACCACGTGAGATGGACACTACCATCTCCATTCTACAGTTAAAGAAGGTGAGGCACTCAACCAGCTGCAATGCCTATTTGCCACAATAGTATTATGGCAAAATGTCCATAGAGGCACAATAGTGGCACTCACATTTTGGTGGTAACTAACCGCTGTCTAATTGGACTGAAGGTCCACTCAACAGCAGCAAAGTCACACCTGGTATAGAAACCTAGTCCAACTTCCTGGGACTAATGAGTTCATGGATCATAAAAGAGAATGTACTACTGCCACTTTGCTAGACCATCATAATTCCTAATTACATTTTAAATCTTAATCTTTTTTTTTTTTTTTGGTTTTTCGAGACAGGGTTTCTCTGTGTAGCTTTGCGCCTTTCCTGGAACTCACTTGGTAGTCCAGGCTGGCCTCGAACTCACAGAGATCCGCCTGGCTCTGCCTCCCGAGTGCTGGGATTAATAAATCTTAATCTTGGGGGCTGGAGAGATGGCTCAGAGGTTAAGAGCACTGGCTGTTCTTCCAGAGGTCCTGAGTTCAATTCCCAGCAACCACATGGTGGCTCACAACCATCTGAAATGAGATTTGGCGCCCTCTTCTGGCCTGCAAGCATGCATGTAGGCAGAACACTGTATACATAATAAATAAATAAATAAAAAAAAAATAAAAATAAATAAATAAATCTTAATCTTAAACTCACAGGCAAGTGTAGCTAACACCCCTCATCAAAGAAGTTTCTCTTAGCCAGACAGTGGTGGCACATGCCTTTAATCCCAGCACTCGGGAGTCAGAGGCAGGTGGATCTCTAAGTTCAAGGCCAACCTAGTCTACAGAGTGAGTGGGAGGACAGCCAGAGCTACACAGAGAAACCCTGTCTCAAAAAACCAAAAGAGGAGGAGGAGGAGGAGGAGGAGGAGGAGGAGGAGGAGGAGGAGGAGGAGAGAAGGAGGAAGCTTCTCTTTGCAGCAAATGGAGCCCATGGTGGAAAATACAACTGGACACAATGTGGAGATCAGTGGATCAGCCCAGTCCCAGTGGAAACCTCTACAGCACAGCTCCTGCCTCTCTGGCTCAGGGAGTATCTCAGAAGAGGAAGCAAAAAGATTATAAGAACCCAGCATGTCTGGGAGTCTGCTGTGAAACAGTTTCCCCTAGAAATGGCTATATAAACACGATCAGAACAATAATAGTATCAATAGACATGCTAACACAGAATTGGGGATACCTCATGGGTCCCATCCCTAGAAAAAGAGCTGCTGAGAGAGAAAGAATTAGCCTCTTCCAGGGATGAGCCCCTTTATTGGGTATCCAATACAAAGTGGTCAGCCCTGAAGCCATACCCACAAACAAAAGCAGACTCAGCAAGTTGTGTTTATATATTTGTGCATACATATACATGTGTGTGTGTGTGTGTGTGTGTGTGTGTGTGTGTGTGTGTGTGTAACAATAATATAAAGAGGCTATCAATTTGAGAGTGGGAGGTGTAGAGGAGTTTGAGGGAAGGACTTAGGAGGGGCTAGAGGGTAAAAAAGGAAGGGGGAACATAATTCTATTTCAGTTAAAACTATTTTGTAAAAAGGGAGGTGGAAAACTGAGATGACATCATTCCAAGTCCACATGGCTCTGGTCTCAGGCCTGAGGATGAGGAAGATGCCCAGGACCCTCTTTCTTGAAGGATCTTCCTAAGATTTACAGGAGCCCTGAAATTACCTCCTGAGCTACAGAAAGGAAGTGACTGGGCAGAACCGAACAGTCTGGGGCAAGGATGACTTCCAGCAGAAGGAATGGACTGCACAGGCCTGTGCCCAGTGATAGCTCACAGACAACAAGGACCTGGGAGAAGTCCTCAGCGGCCAGGTAGGATCAGTTCTTTCCCCCCATCACGTGGGTCCTGGAAACTGAATTTAGATCATCAGGCTTGGCAGCAAACACATTTACCCACTGAGCAATCTTGCTGGGTCCATTGGAAGTATATTTATTTTTCTAAACAATGTGTGCCCGTCTCACTACAGGTTACAAAAGATGTATATTAATACAGAAGGGGGAGGGGATTACATATGAGGCAATTAAGAGTCTTCCACAGCTTCCCAGAGTTGGCAAAATCTTAGAAAACTCTAGAGAATGAATAGAAGTTGTTGCTCTTATCACAGAAGGAGAAATCAGAGGCCTTAAGATGCAGAAGACCACAGCACATTTCTTTTAATTTTTTTTTTGAATGAATGTTTTGCCTGCATGAGTGTCTGTAAATCCTTTGTGTTCCTGGTGCCCAAGGAAGCCAGAAAAGGGTGTTTGATCCCCTGGAACTGGAGTCACAGACAGTTGTGAGCTGCCATGTGGGTTCTGGGAATCAAATCTGGGTCCTCAATAAGAGCAGTCTTTTTTGATTTTTCGAGACAGGGTTTCTCTGTGTAGTTTTGGTGCCTGTCCTGGATCTCGCTCTGTATACCAGGCTGGCCTCCAGCTCACAGAGAACCACCTACCTCTGCCTCCCGAGTGCTGGGATTAAAGGCATGTGCTACCACCGCCCGGCTAAAACACAACTACATAAGTCGGTAGGATTCGAACCTGCGCGGGGAGCCCCCATTGGATTTCAAGTCCATCGCCTTAACCACTCGGCCACGACTACAAGAGGTTTTTTGTTTGTTTGTTTGTTTGTTTGTTTGTTTGTTTTTTTAAATCACTGAGCCACCTCTCCAGATCTCATAGCACATTCTGGAATATCTTAGAATGAAAACAGAGGGAGAGTATTAGTTGCTTTTCTCATTGTTGTGAGAAAACACCTGACAGAAGCAACTTCAGTGGGGAGAGATTTATTTCGTTTATAAATTCAGAGGGTGCCATCCATCATGGCCTGGAAGACAGGGCAGCTGGAGTAGTTGGAACACTTCAGTCTGTAGCTTCAGGAGCTTTTACTGCACTATTTGTTCACAGCTCGGCAAATCAGAAAGCAGACAGTAGGGCCAGACAGAGGACTGAGCCATAATCCTCAAGGCCCACTCTCAGTGGCCTACATCCCTCATCCAGGCCTCATGTCCTCCGTGTCCCCAAAACTGCACTACAAGCTGGGGACCGGGTGTTCAACTGGGGACATTTCCCATTCAAACTCTTAACAGAGTGAGCTTTGAGACGGTAAGGGAGGTAAGCTGATGGCCAGGCTTTATTACCCACAGAGACTTTCGAGTGCAACGGAAAGCAGCTATTGCCCTCTGCTAAGTCCTCAGAAGATAAAAGAACCTGTTCAGGGTCCCAGATCTGCCTAAGCAGCAAAGCCCAGACTCCTACTTCTGCCTGTCCTAAAAGAGCTGGCAGCCCAGCTGGGGAAAAATGATCAAGTATGAAATATGCAAGTAGCACAAGCTGGTATAAAATCATATGCGAAACTGACATTTTTTTTCAGGTCCTTCGTTGCTCAAAGTGTGGCTGTCATGTGGGAGTGAGAAGTTCTGAGAAAATGAGAGAAACAGCTTTGGGGATTCACAGAGCAATGACTTTCTTCCTTCTCTGTCCTTCTCATCCCTACACCAAGTCCAAGTGCTTTAGAGAATGCATCAAACTCTGAGGAAAACTGCAAGCTGAATGTCTTCATTCCCTGAGCCCAGCACTTAGGTGGAGGTGTCGGTACCTGGAGCTGAAGCTGGCGTCCCTGGGAGAGGTGGGGCCGATAGTCTCTACTTCTCCTGTGGGATGCAGCTTCTCCCCCAACCCCAACTCCTCAGGCAGTGGGGGTGGCAGGGGAGCTTAGCAGACAGACAAGTCTCAGGAAGCTATTCTGGGTAATAGAACAGTCTGTGTAGGGGTGTGGAAGCATAGCTTAAAGAAGGTAAGTCCTTCGGTGTGAACGGAGGCTGGGATGGCAGCAGTTCCGGGAAATGAGGCTAGAGGGATGTATTGGCTCCATGTTATGGAACGCCTCGTTTGTTACCGCAAGGAATATAAAATGAGCTTGTCATGCTCTTCCAACGAGGGTCCTGTTATGTAACAGCGAAGAGAAACACAGTTGGAAATGGAAATGGGGCTTGATTCACCGGAAACTGGAGGAGGTAGATCTTAATTTGCACACCCGAGTGCATCACTAAGCTTCGGATCTACTGAGGCAGATAATGGCAAGGTCCACTTTGCACCTGGATTTGCATACCTGCTGGCCCCTGGGCCTTGCTTTCTGAGCTCCAGCACTGCCTGTGGACCGCTTACCCTGAACCTCAAGGCAGAGTTTTCCCAGACTTCTCTAGTTTCCCTGTCCTATTCTCCAGTTCATGTGCAGTAAAGGAACATAACCTTGCCTCAAATTTGTCAAAAAAACCATCATATGCCCTCTAGGCAGAATGTGTTGTTTCATGACCCTGTTCAATCCTGGATGTCATTTCCTATCATAGAGAATAATCTTTTTACAAATGTCCCATGGCCACATCAGTGGTATCTCAGTTTTTCCTCAGAATGGAATTGGGCATGGGGAATATGTCCAAAGGTCTAAGCCCCTCCAGGTTGAACAGCCACCTCTGGTTAAGGGAGTTTGCATGGCTGGCTTTGGGATTAGAGCCCTAGGCAGTCCTCCCACATACACTCTGACCAGATTCCCCTCCGCTCAAGGCCCAAGTTGATTGATTGCCCCCATCTAACACCACTGCCCCAATCTTTAGGGAGGAAGGCGGCGTATTTGCTCTTCTTCTGAGAAAGGGGCCCAATTCATTCTTGTCCAAGCAGCATAATAAATAACCTGTCCCTTTTGGCAGGGAGTTTATTAGAGACTGACGGGACATTTAACAATAACTGGGGGCAGTGATTTATTAGGTAGGGAGATTTGTGGTGTCTCTGAAGCCTGGGATGTGGAGTTTAATTGTTAAGAGACTGTCAGCCTCTCTGAGATGTGCTCAATAGAATATGCATCGGAAGGGGTTCTCTTTGGAGCTGTCAGGAAGGGTTTCTGTTGATCATATTCGTCTTCTATGCACAGCGAGGTCTGCTAGATACCTGAGTGAGAGATAAATGGCTCAGAGGGGACCCTGGAAGGGACCTAGAGTCCCATGCACCTGTCAGTTGCTGGGCCAATGGGAGAATATGACACAAATGAGTAAAAGGAAAAGGGATTTCATGATCCTCGGGGACGGGTCCTCTCAGGAGCCTTTTGTTTTTCCTGTGAGCTGCTCCAGAGAGCAGAGAGAGGTGCTTAGCACCTACAGCCTAGAAAGAGAGAGAGAGAGAGAGAGAGAGAGAGAGAGAGAGAGAGAGAGAGAGATGAAAGGGTTACAAGTCATGAAAGATTCATTTTGGAATTCTAAACTCTCTGGACCAGAGACAGCCTTCTCTCCTACTTTGCCTTACCCTCCAGCCACTACCACCATCGCCAGCACACACACACACACACACACACACACACACACACACACACACACACACCATCATGACCACTGCTACCACACTAGTTACTTCACTCTCAAGTATTCCCGGAAGTCCTGGTTCAGGTAGCAATTCCTGTCACTCCTGCTTTCTTGCCAAGAACAGAGCCACGGAAACCCAGATGGATGGAGCCTCACCTTGCCGCTGTGATTGTCTTCCACTGCCAGATATCCCAGAACCCAAGATGAGAGCCTGGACACAAACGCTTGGGGTGGGGTAGGGTGGGTAGAGCACCCAGGCACCTGTCCACCCTTCCACCTCAATCTGCCCCCTGTAAGGGAGATGTTTCCATCAGAGAATGCAGAGTGCTAGCCTTAGGCGGCCCGAGCCTTGGCAAGGCAGCTCCACTCACATTTTGTTCTCTCCCCACCCTCTGGGTTTTTGCTCAGCCTTAAACAAGGCCATGTAAGGCGCGGAGAGGGCCTTTCCAGGGCCAGAGCCTGTTTGCCTCCTCTGATCCTCCTGCATCTATTCTTAGGTCCCAGGAGATTGGTCTACCCCCTTGCTCCCTCCAGGGAAAGGGGGCGGGGCGCAATAGCCAGAAAGGAAATAATTGTCACTGTCTAATCTGAGCCTCAGTGGTGACACTGAGGGACCTCTGAGCGGGATGGATACAGCAACTGGTTTGATCAAATCAACCCTCTCCTGCAACCTTGTTAAATTAAACTGACAGCTCAGAGAAGAGGAGGGAGGCAGCAGGATCATCGCCTCTGGCGGGGCGGGGCTGGGCAGGCGCTGGTAAGAAGATCAGACAGAGGCAGAGCATCAGCCTGCCCTTTCCCTTATTTGCTAGCTGGAGAGAGGTGATGGGATTTGTGGATGTGCAATGCTTAAGGACCTGCCTGAGCACAGGCTGTGGAAACCGATGCAGAGGCAGACTGCTGCCTCCCAGGAGGCTTGGCAAATTCCCTTGGCACTGAGGCCTCGTGCACATTTAGAACACTTCTTTTGACATTTCAAAGGGCCTTCATGTGCTTTACCCCCATGACAGGTGAGCAGCAATAAGATTGCTAGCTTCACTTTGCTGCTATAGAAACTGAGGCAGTAAAGGCTACAGAGCTGACCTACAGTCAGTCCCAGGAACCCAGGTTTCTGGCTTCCTAGTCCTGGAACACACTGCCTCTAGCTTTGTACCATATGGCAGAATTTCCTAGGATTTAGTCCCCAGAGATCAGTCTTTTCTTCCACCCACTAGAATGTAAGCTGCACAGCTCACATTTTGGGCCCTCAGGAAAACGCCAATTCCCACATGGCCTCGTGCAGCCTACCTGCAAAACACATGGCTAGTTTCCAAAGATGAGGCGGCCATTCCAACATCGTCCTATCACTTGCCCACATGCCCAAGCCCTTCCATATCATGTCCACTCAGTCTCATTGTAATTAAGGGCAGGAGGCAAGGTGGGAAGATATTGTTAGCAACCCCAGCAAACAGCTAGAGTAGGCGGACAACACCGATACCCTGCTGGCTTCCTCACCTGTCACCCAGTTCCTCACCTGCCAAAGCTAATTTTCCACTCCCCAGTAGGTGTGAGCTCCTTCGGTGTCTGAGCCACACATACACTCTCACACATGCACACAGACACAGCACCGTTGTGAACAGAGCCGTGCCTCACCCACATGCCCTTGTTCTCACTCCAGATACACACCAAGGATGCTATTGACACATCACCCCTTTGAATCTCTTCTGCAGTAGGGAGCACACTGGGATGGGGATTCTGCCAAAGATGGTGAACACCAATCACTGAGCACAGCTGGGATCTTGTCACACCTTGTCTCCCAGGCATCCTCATTACATACCCCAGGCTGCACACTAGTTAATGAGCACTCTAGACAGAGTGGAGGTGGTAGATGTGCTTAGAGAAGATGTTTTAGGTTGCTTTCTGTTGCCGTGATTTAAAGAAAAAATTACAACCAAAAGCACCTCTGGAGGAAAGAATTTATTTGGCTTTCAGTTTACACTCCTTCATAGAAGGAAGTCAGGGGAGAAACTCAAGGCAGGAACCTAGAGGCAGGAATGGAAGCAGAGGCCACAGAGGAACACAGCTTACTGGCTCGCTCTTCATGGATTGCTCAGCCTTTTCGCTTATACAACCCAGGACTGCCCAGGGGTGGCATGGCCACAGTGGCCTAGGCCTTCCCACTTCAATCTTTAATCAAGTAAATGTCCCACAGATTTGCCTATAGGCCAAATCTAATGGGGACATTTTCTCAACTGAAGTTTCCTTCTTCACAGATGTTCTAAGCTTGTGTCAAATTCACACACACACACACACACACACACACACACACACACACACACCAAAAACTAACCACCGCAGAAGACAAACAACTGGAAACTATCAAATGGAATGTATGTGTGTCATAGCAGGCCTATATTGAGCTCATTCCCCATGTTACCACTTATGACCTAAAAACGGCTAATAGCATACAGACAGGGAATACTTACACAAATATCACTGGCCTCTTAAACTCATCCGTGGTGTTATGATTAGCCATACTCAACCCCAACATCTCCAACCTATCTGAAAACATTGAATAGGATGCTTCTAAGGAAAGGATTTAGATTCCTCTCGAACAGTGGTTCTCAACTTTCCTCATGCTGTGACCCTTTAATATAAGTCCTCATGTTGTGGTGACTCCCAACCATAAAATTATTTCAATGCTATTTCATGCCTGTAATTTGGCTACTGTTACAAGTGTAATGTAAATATCTGATATACAGGCTATCTGATATGTGACCTCCAAATGGATCTGGACCCATAGATTGTGAACCGCTGCTCTAGAAGGGAGATGGAAGGGAAGGAGGTCTTGTCTGGAGGCAGTGGTCACAGCTCGTTGGGCATGATTCCTATGCTAATTCTATCATTAGCACCTTGATAACCCAGAGCAGGTCAGGAGCACTTTGTCCTTCGCTTTCCTGGCTTGTAAAATAATACGCTTAGGCAGGAAATTCAGACTGTTAAGAGTGTTTAAAACTATCATAGAGGATAAGACTGAGATCCAAAGAAGTTACCTTATTGGTTCAAGGCCACGCAATGAGTGGAATTGACAGTAGGTAGGTCTAGCATTTCCCTGGGTGTGGCCTGAGGCAGGTGTCACTGTTTCATGTCTTCTCTCTCTCATCTGAAGAAAGGAGAACTGGAACTGGAGGTACCCATCCCTGGGTTCAGAAATAATAAATGTGGGCCTGACACCAGGGAGGCTCCATGCATGTCAAGTCAGGACTATTTCCATTGGCAGACTAGAGATTCAAGTCTCGTTATCATCTTTTCCAGTCTTCCCATGGAGTCACAAGCCTTGATTTTCCTGTAAGATCCTCTGTGGCTCCAAAATTCTATGTTGTTCATCAGAAATCTCAAATGCAAGTTATTTTCTTTTTTTTTTTTTTTTTTTTTTTTTGGTTTTTCGAGACAGGGTTTCTCTGTGTAGCTTTGCGCCTTTCCTGGAACTCACTTGGTAGCCCAGGCTGGCCTCGAACTCACAGAGATCCACCTGGCTCTGCCTCCCGAGTGCTAGGATTAAAGGCGTGCGCCACCACCGCCCGGCTGCAAGTTATTTTCAAAACTCTCCATGCAGAGATGCAAAAGACCATTTGGGGGATTCATTATCCACCCTCCATTGCCTCCTTCATTTTCTGTGGATGATGATTCATGGGGAATGATCACAGCAAAGAAAGTCTGCCCAATGCTGGGGAGGAGGAGGCAGTCAAACTCCCCAGTGTTCAACTCCTGTGTGTGCTCAGCTCCTATTCTTTGGTGTACATATCCATTTGTTAAGTGTGACGCTATTTCTTGGCTGCCTGCCTTTCCTATCTGGGAACCTGAGTCTCTTGGTACAGACCATTGCTGATGATAGTCACTGCAAACTCTGGGAAGAGAGTTCTGCCTGTCCAGCTGTCATCCTTGGCTCTGGTTCCTTTCAGGGTGTCCTGGTTGAAATCTCTACTCTATCCCGAGTTGACAAGTGATTAGTGCTAGCACAGTTCTTTGGCCCCTACAAAACACCAGAAGAGGCTTAGGAGCCAGCCTGGTAGAGGCCAAACCTGAGAAGTGACCTCACTTTCTGCTTACCTCGCAGCCTCAGGAGAAGCAGATCGCCCCCCTTAATCACTTGCTAGCAAGTCTCTCTCTGACGGTCTGGCTATCCCTGTCGCTTGCTTACAACTGCTGGAAGGAGCCAAGTCGTAGGTAGTAAAGTAGCTTTTGCCATGAGTTACAGGGCCTGGTAAGATCCCATCAAGCCAGTGCTGTGCCTCTAGAGTCAGACATTGTAGAATGTCCTCATGAGGGTCCAAGAAGCAAGCCACTAGCCTTCTTAGTACAAGCGACACCTACCAGCATTAGTTTGCACAAATACCATTAGTATTTCCTTGAACCAACATTCTTCGTTTCTCTAACATTCTTCAGGTATTCTTTGTAGTTTGGTTTCTGATAAATAAATGTTTACAAGATGGAAATATTTGTTCCCCAGGGAGTGAAGAAACCACAGCTTAGGCACTATAAGCACCAAGCCCACAGCTACCAGTAATTCTAGATCATGACTATCAGCCCACAGACGAAACATGTGCTATTTACACTAGCTTAGTTTTACATTCCTAATGAGCTAGGCATGGCTGAAATCTCAGCATTTTAGAGGCAGAGGCAGGAGGATTTGTTGCCTGGTCTATGTAAGGAATCCCATCAGGGCAACAAAACAAGATCCTGTCTCAATGACAATAATAATAACAATAATAAATCCCATTGAATTGTTCAGATAAGAGACCTGGGAAGCCATTTATACATGTGTATTCAAAATGCTACCTTTTCTTCCTCCAACACCTTCCTTCTGTTCCTCTCCCATAAGAATTAGCACCTGCATGACTGGTCACCTGATCTTAACGCCAAGTGGCTGTGAAGAATCTAAACCATAGATAGACATGGTGATGGCTGTGAGCGCCAAGGGATCAGCCACGGAAGTTCCATGGACAAGGACCTACCAGGACTTCCTCCTTGGGTGGTTCTCATCATTTTGGTGAAGTGCTACCTTAGGGCACACCCCTCCTTTCTTCTGCGTAGTTTTAAAAGTAGGGTATCATGTTCTATTCCCTCCTTTGGGCCTCAGTTGCTCTGCCTGTAACTGGGGAGACTGAATTATAGTCCGCTTCCTGGCTGTGGAAGCACTGTGACTAGCTGCCTCATGGTCCCACTCTCGTGCCTTCCTGGCTATAATGTACTATAAGTTCAAAATAGGAGCCTAAATGAACTCAGCCTTCCATTACATAAGTAAATAATTGCAAACAAAGAGAATGACATTCTTTGAAGACACTTAAAACTTACAGAGTATTGGTGCTGGAGAGATGGCTCAGCAGTTAAGAGTGATGGCTGCCCTTCTACATGTAAGACTTCCCACAGCCCCTGTAACCCCAGCTCCAGGGGGATCTGAAGACTCTAACCTCCTCAGGCACATACCCACACACAGACACACTCATATAATAAAAATAATAAATCAAATCTTTAAAGTTTTCTTGTGGAGCTTTATGTCCAGTGCCTTTGTGTCTTCTCCCAAGTCATAAAGCCTTTTATTCAAACTCAGAGAGATGCTTTATTCTAGATCTAAGAGGCTTCCCGACTGTAGAAGCTACTTCACTCCTTCTGCCCTCCCTAGCAACAGTCTCCAGTGACCAGAGGAAGATGTCACGCTAAGCAGGGCTTATCCTCTTCCAAGAAGAGTGAAGTCTCTGTCTAGCCTCCCATTCCCCCGCAACAGCACCCCAGTGTATTCAAACAGACACTGCAGTCTGTGCTCAGCACCTCTGGGCAGCCTGTGAGACAAGTCCTTTCCCTGGAGAGTAGCTGTTCTGGAGTGGTATCTGAACACATTCCAACAACACATGTTTATCTCTAAGGTCAGCCTTTCCTGTTGATGTTGTAGCGGCATACAAGGGGGGAAGGGGCTAATGGTCTCTGCAGCCACAGGAGGTGAAAAATGAGGGCAACAGGAACATGGCTCCACCCTTTGGGAGGACGCTATTACGCTGAAGTTTCTAGAACATGTGTGGCCATGTATCTCCCAGCTCTTCTGTTGCCAGTGGAAATGAGGAGTTGGGCACCACCTCTTCCATAGCTAAGCCAGGACTTTCGGGTGGGGACCTTTCAGGTGGGGCCACAGGATCTGAAGCCAGGAGAGCGGCAGTAATTCCATTGTTTAGTGCAGGATGAGCTCTGTTGGGACACAGCTGGCCCTACCTCTCCCTTTAAGCTCATCTGTAGGTGTCAGGACCTTCAGACTCTGGCTACCCTCCCTCAGTAAGTTGGGTGCAAATCCTAAGAGTCAATACACTTTTGGACCAAGTTCCAGGAGGTGCACCCCCCACCTTTGGGAAAACTCCAGACCACTTACCCCCACTAGCTGGGAGAAAATGCTCACATGCTTTCTGAGGCTTCCATTTCAGCTCTAGCTGTCTTTAAGAAGGATGCCTACAGACAGTCTCAAGACCTCTGACCCCTTTAGTATTTACTTTCAATTGAGATAGCCGCATTCTCTCTCTAGGCTGAGTTTCAGGAGGTGGGAGGGTGTAGGTTGAACCATCTGATTCCTCTTCAGCAAAACTGAATCATGTCCCCCAGCCCCCATCCTTAGGCCAGGGATATTTACCCATGTTTATATAACCATGGCAACAGGCATTATTCTCTATCACTTAGACCCTTAAAAAGGGAAGAAAAAGAAAAGCAGTTCATTTCTTTGCTATTGCTTCCTGTTCTGCCTCAAGAAGAGCTACTTTCTCAGAAACAAGGGGAGAAGAGAGAGAGAGAGAGAGAGAGAGAGAGAGAGAGAGAGAGAGAGAGAGAGAGAGAGGAGAGATGTAGAAGGAGAGAAGCGGGGGATACCTACACACTCTTGAGTAACACTAACCTCAAGCTCACAATGGACCAGCATCATGGAAGGACTCCAGAGTTTGATTGCACTTGTGTTCCAAAGTCCCCAGGAGCCATATAGCAACATGTGTATCTCTGATTCATCTGCAAATCATCTTATGATCTCTGTACAGATTATGATTATCAGTTATCTTCTTGCTGTCTCCATCTTCAGAGTGGATGGAGTATGTTGCAGACCTCGATAACAGTGTGTTCTTCATCTGCACAACGGGGTATACATTCTTCTGCCTTGACTACTTCACAGGTGGTCATCAGAAGGGAGTTTTGTGGGGCTGGAGAGATAGCTCAGGGGTTAAGAGCGTTTGCTGCTCTTCCAGAGGACCAAAAGTTCTATTTCTAGCACTCACGAGAGAGGGAGTGGATCACAATCACCTGTGAGCACCAGCTTGGGGGGGGGGTCTGTGCTTTCTTTTGGCCTCTGAGGACACCTACACACATATGGCACACACACACATAAAAATAAATCTTTTAAAAAAGGAAGAGAGGCTTGTTAGGAGTATGACATGTTAGGTTTAAATGATAAGCAGGAGAAACTGGGACCCAGTAAAAGGAAAGCATGTGTTGTCAACAGTGTAGCCCCAACAGTGCTAGGTCCTTGTCAAAAGATCATCCTGGCATTTCAACCACTGCTAGTATCCTAAATTCCAAGGGAGGTTCATACCCAGGTTTCAGGGATGGAGAAAACCACAGGTCTGCAAATGTTTACGGAGCTTCTTACAACAGGCTGCTGTTCTTCAGGCTGGAGGTCTAAGTTTGCAAAAAGAGGCCCTTGGGTGGGGAACCTACCTCCACTCCCCCGGAGGGTTAGTGGAGGAGAAAAGGAGCACCAGAACACTCCTTTCTGATTCATGCAGACTCATGGCCCATCAAGACAACAATGAGAATCCCATTTTAGGTCCCCCCTGGCACTGGAAACTCTTGAACAGATTTTCAGCACCATTCCACCTAATTTTCTGAGTGACACATCACTCAAGAGGAGTGAGAAGGGAGGCCAGGAGTGTGGTCAGTCACCGTGTTCTGCACCTACCCATTCAATCTTCTGCAAAGTGATCTTGGCTGACACCGAACTAATGCCTGCATTAACTGCCTTCTCCCCTGGCGCCTTCTCTTGCGTCCTTTTGGTTCTGTCCAATGCAGACCACCAAAATCTTGCCAGGAGCAAACTTTCCCCTATTAATTATCTTGGAACAACGCATAGCTAATTGCCCTAATTACTCTCGGGCTCTGCCACACCACCCCTAGCTGTTGCTCACCAAGGGCAACTCAAGTTGGGCAAGCGGCCCGGAGGCCCGCTTAGGGAGTCCCAACTTGGGCTAGCCAACTAGCATCCCATCTGCTGTACCCCAACTCCACCCCTTAGGTCCGATAGGAGTTGGTGCATCTTGGGGAGACATCTGTCGACTACAATCAGAGCATTTTCAAGTCCTCCCCTCCCCAAGTTCAAGAAGGCCAGCACTAGGGAGCCTGGGGAGGGAAAGGCCTGTTTTTCTACTTTCTGCCTCCCCTACTGAAAGCAGATCCCGTCGCCCCATTTTTATCTTTCCGCTAAAACTCGCCTTCTGAAATGGCTATGCTTATATTTATTTGCTTGTTCCATAGTTCCTTCTCTCCCCACGATAAAAGTTCTGGAAGGCTGAGACTTTGTCTCTCTTACTCATTATCTCCAGGTCTACCACCTTGCGGTGGGCACAGGGGACCACTGCCACATGAGCTGACACATAACGGAAGCCCCTTCCTTCCACCAGCCAGGAGTGAGCCGGGAAGAGATGAAGAGGAACTGCGCTTCCAGGACCCTCTTTAGAAAGAAAAGGCTTCCGAGGGACTTCAGAGGGGAAGCAGAGAGGAACTGTTTCTTCTCTGGACGAGTTCAGTTAAGATTAAAACACTGTGACCCTTCTGCCTGAGCCTGATGCGGAGTCCTTACCCCTAAATCTGCGTTCTTCCTTTGTAATAGATCACGCCCTTCACTGGGGGGGGGGGGCGTTGGCAGCCTGACGTTCCACTGCCCCACAGAGCCCAGAACCCAACCTGAGGGTCCCCCAGTAGTTGCTGCTGGCCACTTGCAAGGACGGCGAAAGACCCAGTCAGGTCGCCCAGCCCGCGCCCCTCGGGCCACTCTTCTCATTGGCCGAAGACGCCCCTTCTGAGTTCTCATTGGCTGCTTCACTTTTCCTCCGCCCCCACCCCGGGCCGCGAGCGGCAGCGGCGGGGGACGCTGCTCTAAGTCCCCACGCTGGAGCGGAGGCTCGGCTCTGAGCGGTCAGGGGAGAGGAGCGCACTGAGAACTCTACTTTCTCATGAGCCCGAGCCCGGCAAATGGGCGAATGAGGAAGGAGAGCGGGGACATGGACTGCTATCTGCGTCGCCTCAAACAGGAGCTGGTAAGAGCGGAGCAGGAGCTGGGGGACAGGGAGGGCTGCTCCACCCAGACTTAGGTACCTGGCCTCGGCCCCGCGTTGCGTGCACCAGAGAGGCTCGGAGAGAAGATGACAACTGGTAGGTAGAGGCTATAGGGCCGTCGCTCAGGGCCAAGAAACTTTGGCAAAGATTCTGATGAGACATGAACAAGTAACAGGGAGTCAGAGCAGCCAGCCAGTCTGAAACGTGACAGAACAACCGAAGAAGAAAAGGGGGAGCACACCCAGAGAGGACAGGCACACATATGGAGTAAGGCTCAAGTGCCCAGAGTCACAGGAGCGACAGGCAAGCAGCGGGCGCTGGTGTTCGGGTGCAGGACTCCTGCAGCGCGCAGACAGATCCCTGTCCTGGGCAGGAGGTCAGGCTGGACTGATCGCTCGTGGGGAGCTGGCACCACCCGGGGCCCCCAGCTCTGCTGGGCTTGGCAGAGCTGGCGCGGCTGCGGGGGCAGGCTTGGCCGGCTGTCTGCCCGGGCTTGTCTGCCAGCAGGGAGGGGGGTGGCAGCTGTAATGACGGGGGAGGAGGGGCGCTGCCTGGCAGATCGCGAGCGGGAGTTGTGGAGGCCCAGCCAGATGTCAGGTCTAGGCTTGGGAGTGTGCTGGGAGTGTGCAGGGCCCGGGGTGCTAAGGGTGAGTATGCTACCCTGGGGACGGGGAGTGAATCACCAAAGAGGGAGAAATGACTGCTAAGGCTGTGTTAGAGAAGTCAGGTTGGTTCTGATTTCATGCACGCCCCCACCCTCACCTTTAGTGTTCCCTTGCCACCAGGAATCAGGCAGACAGGCATATGCATCTTCTCCCAGCTCTGCCCTTCCCTTTTCCATCTAGACTCGCTCTTCCTCTCACTCAACCTCTCAGGGTCTCTTTCGTTTTATCTCTCACGGCTGTGGGCTCTTCTGTCCCATTTTACTACCCTTCCCTTTCTTCTTTTGGGAGCCAGGTCACCAGGCATGCCAGAGCAGACCTGGATCCGGAGAGTGCCCAGCTCAGGCCCTTAAGATCCCAGGAGAGCCTTTCCACTCCCATCTGAGAGGCTCCCCTCGGCCTGCTTGGCAGTGTGTTAGGGGCAGTCGTGGGTGGTAGCAGGGTGGAGGAAGGAAGGGAGCTGAAGCAGCAGGTAGGTGTTCTTACTGATGCTCCCTGACCAAGATGCCCTGGTACTAGTCCTGTCCGTCCCAGTCCATGGGTCTGCCTTCCCAGGTTACTGTTCACTCCTTTAGTTCTTCCTCCCTCCTGAACCGTTTCCGTGAGGACACACTCAGGTGTGGAAGTTACTGCCTCCCCAGAAACGCTTCTTTGGTGAGAGCCAGTGTCTGCTGATGCTCTTCTGAACCTGTACCATGCCCTGTACCTTGTCAGTTTTCATATGCAGGGCATGTTAGTTCGGGATGGCGGCCCTGGCCCATCAATATCCCATGCTCATGTTCCCGCTTCATGTGGCCAGGACCAGGAAGATGATTACCGGCAATGGCTGAGGATCAAAGCCCATGTTGAGAAAAGAATCTAATAGGATCCTCTTTGTGCCTGGAACCTGGGACCATGCCACCGACATCAGGATGAGCATCTATAGAGGGTTTGTGGGTGTTCCTGGCATGGGAATGAATTTTCTAAATCTTACTGATTTGCATTTTTTACATCACTCTAGGTGGGAGGTGGTGAGGGGAGGAAGACAGTCTGTGGCTGTCAGGAGAATAAAAAAGAAAGAAGGAAGGAAGGAAGGAAAGAAAAAAAGAAAGAAATCTGCACTGAGCTGAGCTCCCAGGTTTTGATCTGCAAACCCTCCACCAAGGCCTTCAGCCCCTGTGCCTGGGAGAAAGAAAGGGAAAGGCTAAAGTCACCCTGCTCCCCATCAGCTTTCATTTGGCCTTTTGTCTGAGCATCTCCAGCCTTTGACTGTCTTGGAGAGGAAGCGAACTGCCTGGCCCAGGGCCCAGAATGACACTCAGATGGGGGAGTTCTTCACCCCCATGGTACCCTGCCCGCTCCCCAGTGCCAGCATACTGAAGGGAAATCCTAGCGGGTGATAGGCAGAGCCATTGGAGCCTCGTTCCCTCTCAGACACCTCACCCCAGTGTCTAAGTGGCAAGGCCAGATCTCTGCACCTCAGGACTGAGCGATTGGAGCCAGGAGGAAAGTAAAGTGCTGTTAGCCTGGGCCCACCTTCCCCCGGGGACGGTAGGGATTGAATTCCATGGCTGTGGCAGGGGTAGGGAACTTTGGGATCCTTTATACCCTAGGGCTGTAGAGGAGGAAACATTACATACAGGCAGTTCATACTGTGAGCCGGGGGGGGGGGGGGTGGGGGGGGGGGGGGGGGGGGGGGTGGGGGGGGGCCTTTGGCCCTGAGGTTGGTTCACTCCGGGCAGGATCTCCTGTGTCATCCAAAAGGACTGTATGTTTCTAGGTTCTTGTCTGATTAAGATCTGCATTTGCGTATGTCATTAAATTCCCTTCAAGAACATCCTGTTAGATACTGTAGGATAAGCCTGTTGCAGAAGGCAACCTTAACAGGTTGTGAAATTGTCTTCGTCCAGGGTGTTCTGTGTTCCCCACTTTTATCCAGTCCCTTCCTTGGCACCGAAATTCAGCCAAGAAAAGTTGTTCCTGAAATACAACATAGCGAAAGCTTCACATTTCCTGAGGCAAGAAACCCTTGCATTGTAAAAATGCAGAAGGCTGTGTGTTCAGAGACCCTGGCTCAATTAAGCTGATAGCTAGAGTACTGGCCCTTTCTCCCTGCCTGGGAGGGGAGGAGAGTCGAGTTTCAGGAATGAAACAGGCTGAAAAAGTAGCAGCAGCAGCTGACACACTTCCTAATTGGGGGGGATAGGGGGGCGCACTACAACATCCAGCACTCCCCTTTCCCTCCAGCTGCCAAAGTAGGGCCTGCCTGAACACAGGCCTTGGGACCAGCTGTGTCTTACACACAGCTCCCTTGTGGGCTTCCAACAAATGTATAGACACAGACACACAGGGGGAGTAGACATAGAATGCTCACAGACCACTTCTTGTGAGTTCAGATCAATTCTGAACAAACCCAATGCATACACTTTGAATGATCAGAGCTCCGGAAGTTCCGCCAGGCTGGGGAGACTTTCTGGAGGAGGAGGAGGATGTTCTAGGAGGACATTATGATATGCCGGTCCTAGTTGAACTCTGGAGAAGAAACCAAGGGACTTCGCTTTCTCAGGCTGGGGAAAGTCCTTTCAGGGAACTTGTATTCCCAGAAGGCAATTCTTTAGTCACCAGTGGCTACAAGTTCTGGATGTTTTAGCATATGACTAAGGAATAGGGCCTAAAGACAAAATAAGGAGAAAGAAGGGTGTGGGAAAGTTATGACTGGGACTTTCAAGTATTGAGCAAAACAGCAAATTTCTATAGAACAAAGAAAAGCGTCTACAGAAGCATCTCATTCTCTGTGTGTAAAGCCCAGAGAGCTTCTGGGTCAGTTAGTCTGGGGTCAGTTGGGACACATGATTCGGGGTCAGGTGAGCTTGAACCCAAACCTTGGCCTGTCTGACTCTGGCCTATTAGTTGCTTTCCCCATCTTTAGAATGGGTCGTTAGAAATATCTACTGCATATAGCTACCGGGAAGATTAAACGGCCATGTAAGTACAATCTGGCCTCGATCTTGAGAGTCTTCTGCTCTTAGCCTTCCAAAGACAAGACCAAAGTGTAGGCCACCAGACCCAGTCTTTGATAAACGGGATGCTGTCCTCATCACAAGGGTCAGAAAAGTTTGGTAAGTTCATACTGGTTTAAAGCACCAACCAGCCACCAGCGCTGTGGATACAAATAAAAATAGACCCAGGTTTTATCTTCCGGGAAGGTATAGTTATAGTTAAATAGAAAAGAAAACGTATATTGATATTGATGTTAAAATGCCAGGGCTGGTGTTGTAACTCAGCACTTGAGTCACACTTGCCTAGCATGTGTGAGATTCTGTGTTCAATCTTCAGTACCGAAAAAAAAAGTTGATGTAACAAATATAAAACACTGTCCAACTGTTAAAGCAACCTAATACGTTGTATTTTTACTATTGCCTTCTCTCTCTCTCTCTCTCTCTCTCTCTCTCTCTCTCTCTCTCTCTCTCTCTCTCTGTGTGTGTGTGTGTGTGTGTGTGTGTGTGTGTGTGTGTGTGTGTGTATGTGTGCTGTTTTGAGACAGGGTCTCACTCCCTCAACTTACCTAGACTAACTGAAATTGCAGGTGTGAGCTACTGTACCCAGCTTTATTCTCATTTCTAAAAGAAGGAAACAGCGACTGGAGGAGGTCAGGTGCCTTGGCCAAGGTCACAGAGCAGATAGCAGTGAGGGTTGGATTCCGACCTAGACAGAGGACTACAGAGCTGCTGTTCCTGCCTGCTCGATGGAATGTCCAAAGATGTGCATAGATGGGGATGGTATGTTCTGTAAGGGGCATGAGTTCAGCGCTCTGAGAAAGGAGAAGCAACATGAGATGCAAATGTCCTATTGTGGAGGGACAGCACATATGTGAGACCTTGAGGGATCAATAGGGACATACACAGGAGTAAACAGCATCCCGGGCACCTAATGAAAGGTAGGCAGGTAACGCAGGCGATGTGGTCATGTGGATGTTTGAAGACCATAGACTGGACCGTAGACTATATTCAGGGAAATAGTGGGTGACAAACTAAAATGGAGGCCTTGAGTGTCATGCTCAAGACTGATATTTTCCTTTGTTCACTGGAGAGGAGCGTGGTCAGATATACATGGTCAGAGATATGTCCTGAGACCTAGGATGTCATTTGAGAGGGGAGGGAGCCAATGAGGAAGGAACGTGAATTAGAAGAGGCCAGGTAAGAGCGTATATGGTGATCTGAACTGGGAAGAAGAGCAGGGAACTTCTTCAGGTTCCTTAGGCGATTGCAGGTGAGAGAGGCTAAAACTGTCAGAGAGAAGAGGGCTGGCTCAGACTGAGAGGCCAGCCTTCCAGAGCAGGC